AGTTACCTTGTAATAATCTTCAATCGTAACGGCAGCTAAACTATTCAATGAAGCAGAAACTGAAGATAATGATGCACTAAAGATGCCAGCAACAAACAATCCAGATAAACCTGGGATGTGGCCCATCATTTCCACCACATAGTAAGGCATCAACTATTGAAATAGAATATAATTATAGTAAAACATGTAGAAGGAAGAAATTTAATAAAAAACATACCTGATCTGACATATTAATCTCTCCGGCACAAACAGGATCACATTTGGCATATCTAGAGTAAATGGACAAACCCGCAAACGAAGTGCTTAAACTTAAAGCAGTGAGAATGGGCCAGTTTAACCAGAGGGCACGTTGAGCTGCTTTCAAATCTTTGACGGTAAGATATCGCTGCACCTGGGTTTGATTAACAGCGTACAGGGATAAAAATGTTATGCCACCGCCAAGTATAAGTGTAAACCACGAGTGCCTTTCGGTTGGATCGGGATTAAAACTGAAATAAATCAAAACATGTTAAAAACTGCCACGAAATACAAATATTACATAATGTGTTGCATAACACGCATGACCTTAAACTATAATATTCACTTTCACGCCTAGTAACATAAAGAAACTCTTTGATTCTTTTGTTCAAGATTCAAGTTCACACTTATTACCTAACTTAACGTTGAATGTTTCAATTAGATGGTTTATGAGATATTGTGGCTTAATAATTACTTGAGCATATCCGTTCGTCCGTAACGTGACGCAACCTCCCAAACTCCAGAAAGTCCACCTTGTTCGATGCCTGCACAAATGATAATGCTGAAGACGGCAGCAAACATGAGCAATGATTGAAATACGTCCGTCATGAGAACTGCTTTCATGCCTCCAATGGTTGAATAAAACGTACACACCAACCCTAAAACATAATAAATTAAAATCAACTTTCAAACTTTAAATCAAATCATATTGACTCTTACCAACTGATAAAATAGCCGCTAACTGACTAATGCCTGTAATAGCCTCTAGAGCTAACGCAGGAGCATATAAAACCACCCCATATAGAATACCATCTGCATGGTATATGCCAAAGCTGCTAGCCTCGCTGTTTGGCCAAAACGTTTTTCTAAGTACTAAAATAAAACTGCTGATTTTTATAACATTAAAAATGTATTCATAATGGCATACCTCATAAGCGCTAGTAGCTTGTAACCGAAAAACACCGGCAAGTACAAATATGCCGCAACAGGAGTAAAGATACCATAGGATATGTTGATTACAATGAATTGAAAACCAAACGTGTAGTTCTCACTGGATACTCCAAGAAGGGTGATCGCGGACATGAAGGAAGCCATTAATGAAAATGCCACAGGCATTATAGGCATGCTTTTATCGGCCAATAAATACTCCTACAACCGAAAACAAATTAATCTCAAGTATGTTAGAATATATATTGAATTTAATACAACTTACTCTTAATGTCTTCTGTTTACCTCCAGTAAATCTGTAATAAATCCCAATTCCGGATGATATGAGAAGGACAATGCATAGAACCACATAGTCCCAAACACCGAAGAGATTTAGTGACCTCATGATGCCGCCGAAATTTTTCCAGGCGATACTTTGAACTCAGAAGAAGAATTTGAATAAATTCATGTCATCTGCAATAGTTCTACATAAATTTCACTTTCATATTGCAATATTATGAAATATACGTTAGTATATTGCCATCCTGTTAGAAGTTAGCTAACAATATTTGTGTTGTATTTACATTAAGCTGTGAAAAACGTACTGATAAACGAACCTGTGGTTATTATATCTTTTGGTAAATAAAAGAATACTGGGTGTTGCCATTTAAACGCACGTGTTTGCTACATACGTGAAAACAAATCCAACAAAACGTAACCAAGATTGTTATATCAAGTAAATTTTAAAGATATAAATATACATTGCAAGTGTTATGTATTTTTAGATATATTACCGAAAAAACATGTAATAAACACTCGCACTTTATGATGAAAAGTTCAATATTATTTCGGTTTATTTTTAGGTAAATTTATGGAAGTTGGCACTTCAGATTTCCAGACAATCCGAAAATTATTTTCGTGTAAAAACAGATAAGATTCACTGTCTAACTAATATAATCCTACTTCTTTTTAAATTAAGGACCTTGAGCCGTTCAGATAGACATTTTCCTTAATCTGGCACCGATTAAATCACGTAATAAATAAATTTACATTGTAATAATGTCGTCATTACTTGCAGAAATAAAGTTTTCCAATCGTAACGTGCATCGACATTTACATAACAATTTATCGCTACACACGCTATGGTTTTATATAGTAAACATCGTAGATATTGAATTACTAATAAAATATCAAATAAAATACATATTGCCAATCTATAAATGTTATGATTCGACAAAATAAACAATTATAATGTGAAAAAAAGATTTCTAACGGTAAATACATAACGCATTCCACAATTCGTTAAACACATATGAAAAAGAGTTATGGTGAAGCGTTCAAAGCAAAGTTCAATACTTTGACCTCAACAAACACCTTTTAATTTAAATCAATAATAATAATAATAATAATCTGTGGATTTCCTGTGGCGTGATTGTCGTAGTAGGCAAAAATACCTAACAAAAAAAAAATTATGAATGCCTACTAGACATTTTCCACTTACTGAAATTACGATAACTTAAATTTATCATGGAACAAACGCATTGTCATTTGCGTCACATTTTATGATTATTACCGCGACAAGAACATACCAAAAGGATTTACTTTCCCTATTCATAAACGGATTAAATACTAATGTACAGACAGTGTCTGTAATTGCAATGAAAAGTTAAATGTAATTATCAAACATTTATTAAACATTACTTGCATGCTAAAATGATAAAGTATCTCATAATTACTCAAATTTTAAAATGAGTAATTTATTCATTCACATTTAATCGTGGAATGTATGTGTGATAGAGTGTAGATACGTGTGAACTTGTTGATTTTAATTTATTGCTAAGTGTTTTAATCAAGTTCAATGCAGTTGAATATCTTACATTCATTCTTGGGTCATGGCATTTTATCGATTTAACTTTATTAAATTCTTTCGCACATACTTTCAGCACGTGTCACCTGTGTTTCAAGGTTTATGGTTATAAACCAAAATGAAAATAATAGGAAAATCATTACAGAGACGCGCAATAAGCGCAAGGCAAAATATAATAAACATGTGAGCGGTTGAGGTTATTCTATGTCAATATACGCTAGTGAAGAACAGGTGTCTAAAATATAAAACACAAGTTTTATACTATTAATTAATTGATAACTTTAAAATAAAACAATCTACAAAATTAATTCTTTCGGGGTCATATTCTGTATTTAATTTCACTCCAAATTAAGTAAAACTAACTCAAAACAAACATTTAAATGAGACTTTTAAAGAAAACCGGTACTTTTCCATTAACTTTACGAAACTTTGTTTATTACAGTAAAAGTCAAAACGCGACTAAAAGTGCTAAAAAGTGACATTTATCAATTTTTGCCCATTTTATTCAATCGCGAATATCTCGTAAACTAAAAGAGATAAATAGGATCTGATCGCAGCGACTTAATCTACGGACTATTCTCTATCAGATAGGATAGTTAAAAGGGAAATCTGAGAGATGAAATTTTCATTCTTAAGAAAAAATTGCCAACTATTTTCAAAAATTAATATCTCTTAAACTAAAAGAGATAGCTACCAACTAATCGTTTATTATGAAAGATTGGAAAATTCTCTATCAGATATAAATATAAAATAATAATATTTCTAATAGTAAAAGGACAAAAAACGTGACTAAAAGTGTTAAAAAGTGACATTTTTCAATTTTTGCCCAATTTTTTCAATTGCGAATATTTCGTAAACTAAAAGAGATAATAGGACACTGAAACAGAGAAAAACACGAGTGTTAGATCACGAACTGTACTGCGCACTTATTAAGTTCTTCCGTCGGATAGAGTCTTGTATTACAAACAATTCTTTAACCGACTAACGCAAGCAAGTCGATAAGTATGTCCACAATTAACAATATACTGCATTTCATAGAATTGAAATGAAAGAAAGGAGACAAGCCGCGTGCAAATAAGAACAGACTGAAACGTTCGAAGTACGAGCGAAGCATGAAACTGCTTCAAAGAGATAACAAAGTTGTTTATACACAAACCCGATAACCGCGTAGAGTTGAACAAGAAGAAATATTACTATATAGAAATACAATTTAGGAATCGTAAGACAACTGGCTAAGAAGAAATAATAGAAATTGAATTTAACATTTGAATAAATAATGCAAGTGTTATAAATAATTTAATTCAAACATTACCTGTATAAACTGAGTGGATTATTAACTCTGATAGGCAGTAAAGTCACATCGAGTTACTCGTAGACCGACGGCCAACTACATTTCACTAACACAAACTCTAGAACTACATGTAAATCGCATTTTAATATAATGCTGTTTACCAATAAAAAAAATAACAGGAAAAGTGCAGTCACAAAACACGCGTGTGAATCAGTTGACAACCGGTTAAAACTGTTTGTAGTGCGTTGAATAAGAAATCTTGAACGCAGCGCAGCGACAGCGGATAAGATAAGACTATCCGCAGGTAAATGTTTCGCTCGTCGAACGCAATAAAAGTTGTTTATAAACAAACAAAAGAAATGACGACTAACGCAACGCTGTACACGTTGCGACGAGACACGATAACTATTTAAGATAGGATAGGTTGTTATCAAATTCGCACATTGTTGGAATGCATTTGCGTTCCGTTGGAATTTAATTTCGTAGGAAATATATGTTTTAAGTTAGTGCCTCCATTCATAGATGGCAGCTCAATATCAAATAATAAATTTTATTTCACAATTACGACATCAAATAACTCATTCGTTACGTACCTGTAACGTGAGAAAGGAACTAATTCTTACTTCCCAGTCAACAACTGTAAAAATTTAAGGAAAATCTGAATAAAAAGAACATCTATTAAATTGAAAGTATAGATTCTTATTTTTTACAACATATGTTCACACGATTCTCATTTTTTATTTTATCTTCTTAAAAAACAACTAAACAGATAATGGTTAATTTATTTACCACCTTAATTAAGCGCAAACAACATATTTAATTAATCGTCAACGGTATTGAAAAACACTACATTAACGTAGGGCATTGTTATTCGCAAACATGCGACGCGTCGTCCTTAAAAATTAAAAGCTACTAATATCAATTTATACTTTCACGAATTATCACAGTTCAGTTTATCACTATGACCATTTCCACTAACATTCGCCATCCCATCGTCTCACTCACGCATGTGTAACGCAATGCGAATAGCAAATTGTTTAAATTCCGAAAGTTTGCTGTCTTCAAATGATTTAAATTATAAGTTAAGTTATTGATTGCATTAGAGAAAGCAATTCGATTAGTATAAGTTGGTATGGTCCACGCCGCTCAAAATAGGGGCTGCGGTGACGGCCTCTTCATTTCCGTGCGAATGTTCTCCGCCATGGCTGTGTTCATGTCCAGCTGCAAAACAAGCAAACATGTTATCATCACATTGGAATTATTTGCATCTTCAGTAGTATTTGTATTGAAATCAGTGCGATTCATTTGTTTATGAGCTATAAGACTTTACAGAATGATTGTTGTAATCTTCAAGTCAACATGATAATTATATACATGGTCAGGTCATAGAACCTTCAATAAACTTTAACTCAGTGCACACAATTGATCACCAAACACTAAAATTTTGATGATCTGTGTGTTTATCCGAGAATAAAAAGAGAGTTGGTATAGAAACGTCTTTTATTGCGTCAATTTAAATTTAAAGGAAATCCCGTTGCAACAGTTGCGCAAAATTTGCAGCATCCGAGCAGATTTGTGATTGAAACTGTTTAGCGCGTTTAGAAAGTAGGGTAGCAGCGGTTGTAGGTTGACACGATGGCCGCGGGACACACCAGAAGAGACCCAACGGCAGCGAGTCGTCGGCAAGGTGCGTCGACATCCCGTAGAAAGCAAAAGTTGTTCGTGAAGGCCACGCCGGGTCAATAACTGTATAAACGTTCAACATTCGGCCCGATACGAAACGCGCGCCGGTCACAATTTTGTTTAAACATAGATTCGTATGCAGACATTCCGCGACGCGTCGAGATTCACAACTCGCCGCAGAGTAGAAAAGAAGCGACGCGGTAGCATACAACTTGTTGAAAGTTTGACAGATCGGATATGGAGATAAGTTTTTGAACGACATTGATCTGCATATCTCTCAGTTGTGTGCAGAATAAAATTGCACGTTATAATTGAATACGTGCATGCATTAAATTTACTTTCGGACCCACTCGACGATGACTTCTTGATTGCTTGATTTCTTGATTATTTGCATGGTCGAAGAACTTTCTTCAGTTTTTTTTCCTTCAATTCCTGTTTCGCATTTAGTTATTTTTGCTTTGCGTTTATTTCGCGCTCGTGCATATCTACAACAGTGGCAATGTTTATTCGCTTGGTCAATGTTGTGCTTTCACAACGTGTTTTTACACCGCATTTTCAACTCAGTAATGCAGCGCTTCCTTATTAATCTTACAGAGTACAGACAATTGCGATAATGCGCCTCCAACGGGGCCACATTATCATTATCTGAAAATACGCGCGAGTTCTCAATTCGGACGTTCTCATAATTGTTACTACACTATTCCGATTGCGTCGGCTCTTCAACGTAATAATTCATAAATAATACTCTGCGCAATGTGATTGAAGAGCTTTAAGAGTTTGAGTGCAAGACGTTGGTATGTGTTCCAGTTTCGAAAGTGATGAGCGCCGCACGACATGACACACGGCGCACCTCAATGAATGAAACACATAAATACATTACCAACTAGTCTAACAGTTTGACGCAAGCAAGATTACTGCCTCTTATAAGTAAAGATTACAGTTAAAATTTAAATTGCATGCATTCCAAGACTTTCTTTGTTCGTGTTATATTGTAACTCACTGATAATCTGCAAACAAAACATGACTGCAAACCCGACGATAATTGCTAGAAGTTGCCAAATTCCAGCATGGTTATTGCTTCTTTCCTAGCCAAAACTTCGAAGAACACCACATATAAAAGTGTACCGGCGGCCATTCCTTGTAGTACGACTGATGTGACATCAATCTCTGATGTACCAGATTCGCTCAACGCAATCCCAGTGCTGATTCCTACGAGATCCAATTTATGTTATCTGATAATTTATGGATTTCAACTACTAACCTAATGGTGTGACAATGGCAAAGGTACCAATATAAATAAAAATCAACAACATCTTCGTTTTGACGTGACCAGTTCCACGCCAACGCAAAAGGCAATCACCAACTTGTGCGTGGCGATGGCCGCAAACAGGTACCAAACTTTCTGCACACTGTTTTCCAGTCCGACAGCAAGACCCTCGAAGACGGCGTGAAAACTCAACGCCAATACGGCTAAAAGTCCTCGGAAAGAATTCTTGATATTCTCATCAATATGTGCATGGCTATGGCCATTATGATGATACTGAACCTCCATCTTTCCAACTTCCGGTTTGTTGCTACCGACATTACCTACTACGTCGTCCTTGTTTAGTGCAACTCGTGGAATGTGGACATTGTCCTTCTTACGCACTGAGAGGGTTCTGTGCAGTGCCTGATTTTCTAGACGTCGGTCCAACAATACGTGCACTAATTCCTCAATCAGATACACGAAAAAGAAACCGCTACAGAAGACGATTTCTGATAGAGATATGCCATGTCCAATTATTGGAATTTTATTTGCTCCTTCCAATCGGGCAAAACTCTCTCTAACTTCCGGTTGGAGATGTAAAAATGTAGTGAATAATAGTACGCCACCACCGAAACAGAGGAACAATGAAATCAGTAGATTCTTGTCCTCGTTCGCGGACTTGATGTTGATGCGCTTTGCCAGTTTGATGGGCAACACTCCAACGAAGAAGGACGCCAAGCCGAGTACGGTCATCGCCAATATCTTGGCCACCAACAGATCGCTGCTCTCGGGCGCACCGTTTTCCGTACTGTTGTGTACTTCACTCATCTTTGCGAACTAACTCAATATCCGCGTTTGATGTCAGAGAACTGTTTCGCCAGCCAAGCACCGCTAACACACCGTCAAGATGGACCAGATTCTGCAGACTGAACAAACAGCTTCCAGATCCCGTGTTTTTCTCACCGGTACACTGTTGCGCGCGATTTTTGTCCGGATAATGAGCTGATGACTGTATTCACGCGCGCAGCATACTAAACATACACGGTAACGAAAAAACAAACTGAATACAGAAGATTTGGACGCATGGTAGCAGGACGAATTCGCAACTTTAGTGTTGGTGTGTTGTTATCAGATCGTAGCCGTGCAAAATTGCATCCAATGTGTTCACAAAGCACGTCCAGTTTGTCCTTGGCGAGGCTTAATCGACAATTGTTCTTAATGGAAAAAATCACAACATCAGTCTCAACTTCCTCAAGGCAAAAATTTGCGCACAAAATACACCATAAAGTTACAACAGTCTTAAATTGATCTGCTGCCACTGTACGCACTCTTGATTCGAAGAGAACGAAGAACACACTGACCGAATCAAGGCATGAGGGCACCGAGAAAGCGCTAGTCCACGCCGCGTATAGATATGGAGATGTTCGACGACTTCTTCGTACAGAACGCAGAGATGACTTTTGGTATTTATGCTACGAGTAGCGCGATGATGGCGAATAACAGTGATGTGTCAATCGGCGAAATTTTTAAACGTGCGCTGTTAGTTGTAATTGTTTCTTACAACTACGATATCGACCGGGAGCAGGTTCAACTGGAATCGCACGAAATACAAAAAAACTTTTACGAGTGATAAGTCACTCACGACTTGCGGCACTTGCGACACCAACACACCAACTCACCGCCGACAAGTGGCTACTGTGTATACCATGTGCGGCACAACGTTCACTGCGCGTATTATTGTTGTCATTATCAATTACTTTCTGTTTATTTATGATTGTTGTGTGATTGCATTGTTAGCGCTGCTCGACACATCAACACCAACTCGGGCAATTTAAACTCAAAATTGAAAAAAAAACTATTAAAAAACTTTAACGAAATTAAATTTATATGTGCGTTCGCTTCGCATGAAACAAAAGAACTGCCGAGAATAAATATCGCGCCCGACAATATACTCACTATAATTATAATGAATAATGCAAAGACAATCTAAAACCTTCACAGTGGTGTCGAGTGAAAGAGTTAAAAGTTCAATTACGATTTACAAAGAATTACGGTGCATCTAAGTACTCTGGTACGCACGAACCGAACGTTATTCAATCACATTACGATTATATTCATGAGCAGCTTATGAGAAACCGATGATATTAAAAGAATAAACAATGCTTGTCAGTTTATCTGTTTGTGTTTAATTCATGGCTGGATTGTTAACGACAATATTGTATATTTTATACGCGGCCAAGACAGTAATATAAATCACAAGCACGGAGAATGTGCTGGTATTAATCCCAATTTAAAATAAAAGTGATGGAAACTTTTTTGTGACAAAATAATTGATTCTAATAACAAATCTGAAACTGATTGCACCAAGTGCTAATTGAAACAAAAGCGAAAGTGTGCAAACTCGATTATAATCACAGCATATCAAAATGCCGCGGGGAATTAATTATCGTGGACTTAATTAACCATATTAAACGCGTTGGTGTCTGCTGGGCACCGGCACACGCTCATTGTTGGTAATAACATGAAGCAACCACGAATCGTAAATTGCACCTGCTTTTAGCAAGAAGTGTAAAAATAGAGAACAGGAAAAAAAGAAAAGTTCATTGCTATATTGCTTCATTTCGTTATTTTTGCATGCGGATTGCATTATTACCAACTACAACTTACAATTGCATTTGCTTCGTTCCGCCATGTTGAGCAAATAATGAATATGAAATATATTGACTAATTTTATTATATACATAATTTTCTAGATGGATATCCGTGGTATAAATTACGAAAAATGTCTTTTATTTAGAATTTCGCGCATGATGCACATGGATTTAATGCAAATGATTGCAGCATTGCAAGTGATTGATGCTTAACAAATTATGTATGCATGTCATTCGCATTCAAAGTGTCTCTTTTTAAATTCTGAATACATACACGTAAAATACATACAATCTGTTAAAAGAAATCAAATTAAATGACGAAATATTGATTCGCTTATCCAGATAGATTTAAAAGTTGCCTAACTTTTAGTGTTGCAATTATAATACTGAAAAATGTTTAAAACTCATTAATTACTAAAAGAGACAGAATAGAATGTTGTAATTTGAATTTCATTTATATGTTGGTATAAGTACCAATAAGTTAATCCGTTATGCATTGTGAATTTTATATGTATTGCATTAATCACTTTATCTCTTACTATATCAGTATGTAAGTACAATGTGCTGTGTTTGCATTTGTTAAGCACCTTTCTTGCATCTTAATATTCTCATGTTCGCTTGGTATTGAATCTATCAAAACATTTACATATTGCAACAGTTTATAATGTATAGAATGTATGGTTATGTAAAAGTGTTAATTTAATGCTGAATGTATCAGATAGAGGTAATATCTGCAAGTATGTAATTTAATAGAAATCATTTGTTGAAATTTTCGGAGAGCAGTTTCTAAACTGATTGTGTTCGAAATGTTGTAAATGAAGAGAAATTTGCGAAAGTTTTAGAGAATTCACAGCGTCGCAAACCTTGTATCAGACGGTAAGAAACTAATGTACTTCAATTAAACATCGGAGAGTAGGAAGACTTTATTTCTGCGCATGCGCGCATTTGAATTTACCGCTCAATAAGCGGAGCAAATACAATTACCAGTATGTCATGTAAGACATGTTGTAATTATGATGTTTACAACAATTTGTCACCCAATGACTCAAAAATGCAGCACATATTCTGGTCATAATTTCCATTGTTTGGTCATTTCGTAGGGTCTTGGTGTCTGCACCATTGTTAATAATTGTAGCGCGATTATTTATATTTGGGTCAAGAACCACAAATAATTGCCGCACGTTGACAGTCGTGATGGTCGCGGTCGCCGCGATGCCTGCGGTTTGCGGTCTGTCATAATTTTGACAGTAGAAACAATAAAATAAAATAAGAATTGCGAAAATGCGTTCGGCGACACCACAAGAATTAAATTCGAGGCAACACCGAATTAATTTGTCATAAATTTACCTGTCGTTTAGTAAATCATAACTAAGGTGTGTGGAAAGGATAATAAAATACAATCAAACGTCAATCATTCTTAAGATTTAAATTGCAAATAATGAACGATATCCTGGGCATGGTCGTGACAACAGTTGCAGAGAAGAAGTGAATGTATGTCAAGTTCATAGACATAAGCAAGTAATTGATCCTAATGTCCTTGCATCCCAACAACATTTTTAGTTTAAAGTTTTAGAAAGAACGAAATTTTAATAAATTTACCAGATGTTTCGTTGTAATCAAAAATAAATTCAGCATTTAATATCGTAACACAAAATTAATTTAAATAATAATATGAATTATTTAACTTAACTAACTACTGCAATACAATACCTATATAATTTATTTTGCAGAAAGCTAGTGATGAGTCATTTATTTAAATATTTTCATTGTTTAAAAGCAAATTTCCCGTGGGTGTATACAATTTGCGGCCGGGAGAAAAGTCACGCTTTAAATTACACGGACGATATAAATGCAAGTATGATATTTCACGAACGTGTCATAATCGGTAGTTAGTGTAAAACACGCGCAATTTATTTGAGTAATTTGCACAACCTTGCGCGTACAATCATAAAACTCTGGTAAAATACCTATCAATTTCTATGGAAATCAATTATTGACCAATTACGAAATACAAGAGGTTTCTTGCTGGCAAAACAACTATTAATAGATTTTAATTACATGTCTACTGTACAATATCTGGTATTTATCGCGAGGATCATTCAATAAAGAAGCACGGATTTTACGCTTTAGGAAATCAGAAATGTAACAATAAAATTATTTCTTGTATAATATATGTAAAAATGCAGTTTTAAACATGTAGAATAAAGAAATGCACACGAATTATTGAAGGATTAACTAGGAAATGCAAAAAAGCTAATTAAACTATAAATAAAGCATGAAATCCAAAAGATTGACTAAATATTGAAGCAATAAACTTAACAAACACCAGCCGATAATAAGTTTTAAATAAATACTAAATATATCAACCATAAACAAATTACGAAAAGTAGATCAATTGAACTTGAATAAATTAAAAACACATTTTTGTGTTGAGCCGTTATTCTGTATTTTTTATGTGACTGATTCGAGTCACAACAAGATAATGTTGCAACGCAAACAATAGATCGTTGGCACGTGTTTAACGAATTAATATTCCCATCGAATCGCGTGTAGCTCGTGCAACTGCAGGTATTCGTGTTGATTTAAATTGGTCGATGGTTTGTTTGCGTTCTAAAGCTCAATCAAATCGCAATAAACATTCTACGCATTCAAAAATCAATTACATTTTCCGACTGAAAACACAACATAATGCGAAAAAATAACTTTAAACGTGTTCAGTTTAAAAGAATTCAAAGTTAAATTTCTTAATTTCGTATTCACTACGCGTTCCTATTTCTTTTGTTTTACGTCTATACTAAGTCTGCACAAATACATTTAAGTGCGTTATAAAAATATTGCACAATTTGCAATAATAATCATAATCATAATAATAAACGAGCGTCTGCCTGTGCGGTTCATAATCAGGTCACTATATTTCAATTCCTTATTGAACAACCGCGAATATTGATACACGAAGTAATAATTTAGCCAATGTTACATGCAAATGAGGCGCGCCGGACGTCTAAACCGTGGTACATATTCACGTCATAGTTTTTTTTTTGGGCGACCGTAAACTTTCGACATCGTTGAGTTTCTCGTACAATAAAAAAGGTAAAAATTTTCAAAACTTCGTTATATATTACGATTTCGCGCACGTCTTTCGTTTTCTACGTATCAGCGTATCAACTGGACGTGCGTGTGCACATTTATAAATACCGGCGTGCGTTGGTAGTGAAATAAAATGAATTAACAAGAGACATAAGTTATTTGGGTCTTTGACCCGACGCACATGAGACAGTGAAATAAAATAATTCGTTTTTTTTTTGCGCGCTAATTCAAAAGTCAACCAAAATGACTTTTAAACATAAAAAAGCCACATGGGATTTCCGAATTTTGGAATTTTTTGCTCTAACAAAAGAAATTCAATTGAAAGTTTTACTGGGAAGTACTCTCCAATTGATGACTCAATTTAATAACCCACCTAAGTGGTTTCAGTCAATGTGATTTCTTTTTTTATATTTTTTATTCTTCATTTGTGGTTATGTGGTAAAATTCTTGCAGCAGGCAAGACTTGAATTACAAGTGTTATGTAAACACTTACTAAATGTCGAGAATTACCGTCCACAGATGATGAACAATAAAAGTATACGGCATTTACCGCGGTCATTAAAACCCATTCATCACGATATCACGAAATCACGACTTTTGGTTTCATACTTTTTTGTGGGCGAGTATCATTGGATCTGTGGGATAAAATACGTTCTGCCAAAATGTTTTAACTTTTAGTTTAAGAAATAAAAGAAAAATTTGCAATATTCAACAACAAGTTTCTGTCTTAATCCGACTTATCTAGTAATTGCATCTCTGCATGTTTGCTTACATATTCATTTATTCACGATTTCTGCATCGAAAACAAGCGTGTTTATGAAAAAAGTTAGTTAAATTTGTAATTAAGTTATTACATTTGCATTTATTTATGCGGATAATGATGATTTAAGACGCCACAAATGTTAGGTTACAGGTTGTTACAAAGCAGATGCGCTCTTGAGTCAAGGATAACGCGAAAACAATTAAAATTAAACAAGTTTAAAAACACAGGTAATGTTTCATCTGTCATTGTTTGCTTGTTTGCGGACGTAAAATTATTCAGACGCGATTAAACATAAACATAATGACACAAAAAGAATAATATTTTAAACTTTACATATTTTTTCCTGAGTGATAAAAAAAAGTTACAAAAATGACAAATTTTACCTAAATGAAGATTATTACCCAAAAAAATGAAAAATTTAGCTTGCATTAATTTTAAATTCACAAAAAGGCCATACAATAATCAAAATGTGTCAACAATAACAGGAAATAATAATTACTTGATATAAGTGTAATAAAAACTTAAATTTTAACTTGTGCTTTTGATTTTTGTTATTTCTATTTGGCAACACGCGAATTAGTATTTAACCAACGTTTAACAGAGTTCGTTACGCATTGCGTGTCAACTAGACAAGGAACTCTTTAAAAACCAAAACGCACAATAAGGAAGTCTGTCGGAGAGTGTCCACTCTACAATCAAATAGTCGTCTATGTGCCGCTCCTCATTGCGCTTTCATAACCCGGTAGAATTCGGAATCCAAAAGGATTTTCAATGCGCACGCACGTCCTGATTATTTATGTGCTTTAGACATTACCGCACTGTCTGTTAACAATTTCAATTACTACCTGTTACCTGGGCCAATACAATACGTGTTGGAATATGTTAGTTTTAATATTCTTTTAAAAATAACCATGCAAATATTTATGATAATCAATCATTTACCATACTGCGACGTAAGCAGCAAGTTATAATACAATTACCAACATTAAGTTAAACAAAAAACAATAGTCGCTCATATTTACACACACTGCGCACGCGTAGCAATGATTTCAATACAAACACTTTTAAGGAAGAAATTATAATAAAAAATAACTTACCTAATATTGTTGCTGTTAACATAAGAAGGAATCCGCCAAGAATTGCCAGGAACTGTTTAAGACCACCTTTTCTGTCGCTCTGTAAGATCTCGAAGAATACTACGTAGAGTAGAGTACCGGAAGCGAGTCCTTGCAGTATCACAGATGCAATGGTGGTTGAGATATTTTCTGTGTCACTGATCCCAATACCTATGCCAATACCCATCGGGCTGACAATGGCGAATGTGAAAACGTACACCATAATGAGAAGGGTACGTGTTTTTGTTGAGACCAACTCTACTCCAATACAGAATGCTATCACCAGTTTGTGAGCACTGACAGCTCCAAACATGTACCATACATTAGCTGCTGAAGACTCCAGACCCACAGCTAAACCTTCGAATAATTCGTGGATGGACAATGCCAACACCACAAGCAGACCACGAATACTCTTTACTATCGAGTCTTCTGCTTCCATAATCAAATGACTGTGACCCGCATGTGAGTGATCATGACTGCTGTGGTTATGATTATGGTGGCCATTTTGTTGACTGTGAATATGTCCGTTAGTATTATTATGATTCAATTCGCTATTGATCGTGGTCGTACTGCTTTGAAAACTCAACGGGTTCGATTTTGTTTCTTCCATGTTTTTAACTAATTCTGTAGTTGATACTGTATGATCTCCACGTCTAATGGAAAGTGATCGTCTGAGTGCTCCCATTGTAACAGATTTCTGTCTCTGGTGAAGGTAATAATGTACGCATTCTTCGACAAAGAACATGGTAAAGAACCCAACGCACATGAGAAATTCAGCGAAATGCATTCGCATGTCGCCAATGTGACCTTCCGCTTGTAATTCTAACACGCTTTCGCTAACTTCGGGAAGCAAATGTAGAAATGTTGTGCATAGTAGTACGCCACCACCGAAACACAGTAGAAGTTGGACCACAGTGCTGCCTTTAGGGTTCGAGTCCCATTTGAACCACTTGGAGAGTTTTATGGGCAGACAGCCGAGAATTAACGATGTCAGGAATAAAACACCCATCGCAACTGCTTTGGCCACCACTGGCGATGAGGTCTCGTCCTCGTGGTCGTGGTCATGATCATCTTCGGAACCATGTTTGGCGTGCTCGTGGACCGCATTCCGGAGGATACCGTTGATTATCTCCGACATTATGCCAGGTTAACAGGTTAGAATCTGTCAATTCAAAATATACACATTTATTGTCTGAAAATTTCTTTTTAATATTGGTATATTAAAAATTGAATAAAATCTTGATTTTTTTAAATGTATCTTTTAAATGCAAATAAATCTCATCTGGAAACATAACACACTGTAGTAATTGTTGAATTTGAATGTCTGAATGCCATTAATAATAATAATGCATTTTTTATTCGTACATTCGCCAAGTAAATAAATTGATTTCATTGTTTGTCTTCCGTGTGAAACACGCAGTTCCGTTCTTTTGTAAATTAATTAAATATTAAATAAACAATAAAGATATAGTAACTAGTGTGTTAACATCATAGCAACAATTAAAATTACGATCTGTGAATTAAGAATTTTTGTTTGTATAATTTGGCGTAGTCAAATGATCATAAAATGTGGAATCAGCGTTTATTTAGTTTTTCGCTTACTCGTGTACAACGTTTATACTTTATTCTATTTTCGATGTTGTTCCCAGTTCTCACACTGATGGAGCAATAATATATACTTGTTTACATCCTTTTGCTAATTGTAGAGGCTCGTCTAATTTTGTTTCAGTTGCTAATCGACAACTGGTGGTTTTTTATTAGTATTATATAAATATTTTTTGTAAATTATGAATAAAGCAATAGTTCTCCCATTTTAAACAAAGATTAAATTTAAATATTGAATTAATATTTAATGAATATTAAACAAATATTAAGTAATAATTCCTATACAACAATTTATCATTCTTCATTCATAATACTGGTTTATAAAAAAAACAATTAATTGAATAAGCGGTATTCGGTTTTTCACGTATACTAACCGCAATTATTAGTTTTTCAGAATTCTCTTTTAGTAATTGAATGTATGCGAGTGTAATAAACAAGAAAATTATAAAAGAAGAAGTTATAAAGACAAAATCATGAATTTATAAAATAATGTTCCGAGTTAGTCATTGTCTAAAAAAGTTTTTAAAAGTTTTTTCAACAAAGGAATAAGTACTCAAAAGTTTAAATAACAAAACGAAATTAGTTACACTTGTTTATCCTGTAAAGCCCACAATTTATCACTTAAAGTGTATGAATAATTAGAAAACATACGCAGGTCTGTCTAATTCAGTAGTCAAAATATGTGCATAGTTTTGTATGGTTGCTGAAAAATATTTGCACGATTTGGACGACGTGAGTTTCAAATTGTAGACTTATCGGAAATATCACGCATATTTGTAGTCATGTTGCATATAAAATATATCCATAACATTAACAATATAATTTTGCATTGTTAGAAAAAACTCTAAAGAAATATTTACCTCTGACAATTGCCACACGTAAGTCTCTTTATTGTTTGTTAGTTATTTGCAATAATAATGCGTCCAAGAAGTTTATTCGTTATTTACACCCTGTTATATAAATGAGTGCATGTGCAATAGTGCAATCAAAATTGAGTGTGTGTAATAAAATAACGAGCGAATGAAACAATCACTAAGCGTACAAGTGTTGGACTGTTATTGCCAAATCGTAAACATTACAAATCGCACTTAATTATTAACCTTAGAAATTTAACGAAATATTTTCCTAGAGAAAGCTGAACCGATAAATAACTGGTACATTGACATTATTCTCTGAATTTTGGAAATGATAAATAGATAATTTGGAAAATTGATGTTTCATTAATTTATTATTAATATTTATTACTATGAATTATTTTAGGAATTATAACGCCAATATAAAATAATAATGCTCACTGAAACAATAGCAAATACACGGAATAAAGTAATAAAGTAATAAATAAATAAAATCTCACATCCATCAATTTTTTATAGTCAAAATCCGTTTATGTTGCATTTTGAAACGACAATGTAAAACCCTATTAAACAATTCAAATTTTATTACCGTTTTTGCAATTTATGGCACTATATCATCAAAACAAGTGATTTTCTGATTTTTTTATTCATTTATTAATCTAGCTACATATTTAGATATAGATTTTAAAAAATTGCTATGTTTATTTTTCATCAGCAAGGTGTGCGTTACAACTTGCGTGATTATATCATCCTCGATTTCTATGTCTCGGACTCTCGTTACATCAATGAGTATTTTATTATTAGACGTCTCTGCGCAATACATAATAGTAACACGATGTGTAGATATATAGTACATATAACTACTCATCGACTAGTTTACTTTGCACTGCTCGGGAAAATAATAGGTAAATAAATTACAATCTCGACTTGTCGGCAAACGCAATCTTGAAATTATTGACCTAGTAATATATTTCTACGAGTATTTACTGGCGAGCGTTTTGTGCAACAAATCTTTTACACATTTTACAGTTAAACTATTTGCAGAAATTTGAATTTCAAAACATCTGGTCATACTTTGTTCAATTTAACTATGGTACTACGTTAATAAATTTAATAAAAATATTGCAGCATTTTTTACACTTTCTCTTATCACCGATAAACTAATTAAATAGAATATTCTTATTAAATTTACTATTAAGTGTTTTAACGGTGTGTGCGGACGCAAAACAGGTTTGTGTTATTATCAACAATAAATCAGAGAAACTTTTTATAGATCAATTTAAATTTTCCAAACACATTTTAACGATCAAATTAACTACATACTTAGTTATTTATAGTTATTTATTAATTACTTAAAAACAAATCGTGCAAAACCAAATTTTTCTGAAGTAATAAAAGAATAAATGTTTTGTTTATAAAACGTTGTTAAACCTAAAGATATTTGTACTAAAAGTTGAAATTTGAAATAAAAAATACCTTTTTACATTTTGTTTAGATAAAAAACTGGGTATAACTTTTAATCAATGAAATCCTTAGTCTATTATGTAGGCACACAATTTTATACTTAATGAATTTAAGCAATAATCAATAATGTAATTTGTTTGGCATTGTACAATCAATATTTTTATAATCTTAATTATATTATTGTGCGCCTAAGTTGTACTTCAATACTTAGAGTAAACTTTTGCACACTTGATGTGACATAGTAAACAAAATAATATGATTTCAAAGGCACACTTACGTTTGATGACTCCTTGAGCGCAGAAAAGGAAATTAGCACTTGAATTTGCACGCGAAAACAGCGCAACTAACCGTACGTATTTTTTAACTTTACTATTTAATGTAAATTTAACTTATGTTTATATCATAAAAAAATTATTATCACTTTACAAGTTGTTATTATATATTAATTTAAAAAATAATTAATAATCACCGATTATTAATCTATCACACCGTCGTCAGATGTGATTGAAAACTGCGATTGGAAATAATAGCAAACTTAATCGCGTGTGGGTGTACACTCTGTACATGCTTCGGTAGTGTGTAGTGTGTGAATGCATCGATTTTCAAACGGCTGCTCACTTTTATATTTTATAGTGCGAGCAAATCGGCAGTCGGTGGCGCAGCACTCAGCAGACAGCACAGACCATCGCGGTTAGCAGTTTAAAAGCGCGTGCGACGGGTGGCGATGGTGGGGGCGGTTCGAGGTTCTCTCGCGGTGCGCTCCCATCAACGCCATCCTGCAAACCTCTCAAAGTCGCGCAAAGTTATCAAACCCATGGAAAAAACTCTCAAGGCAGAATGATATCTTCGTACTTTTGTTTCTAGACAATATTTGAATGAGAAATAAAGTACACACTTTAAGATCAAGTATTTACTCAACCAGGCAGGTTATTATCAGTCGTTACAAGTTGAAATGCAACTCAGGCAAACATTGATATTGGTGTTGATAGGTGTTGAAATTATTGGTTTTTTGCTATGTATTTAAATCAATCACGCATTGTTGTTATGGATGGCTCTTATATAAATATTAAAACTTTCCAGTTCAGAAGTAGTCATTAAAACAAATAATTATTTTTGTTATTAATTTATCATTGATTGTGTCTGAAGATTAGTTTTGCTGTGAATGTAACAGTAATTATGTATAAACGATTTTTTACACGTGCTCCTGTGAATACCACACGGTAATTTCTTTATGTGGTGATGTGATTTCCAAACAGTATTTTTTTACAGTCATAAAATATTCATGTCAAGATTAGGATAGAATAATATTAGTCCTTAACAAATTTCATATAAAGTTACACCAAGTGAGTATAATATTAACACATTTGAGTAATATTAAATAAAAGTTTAAAATGTGCGTCACTAGTGTTGAATTTACTTGTAATGTGTGTTGCCGCAGTATATCATTACATAACCTACAAATATAAAATGTAAATTACCTATATACCTACATATTGATATTGCAAAGTAAATTTGTTGGTTGAAATGCGCACAATGATCTATTAAATTGAATAAATAATTAATTATATATACAAGGGCACTTGTAAAATATTTTCGGCAATGTTACAAAGTAAAAGTGAAGTTTTCAAGATAGCAATCGAACGTCTTATATTTTTTTAGGAATATAAGCTACAAATGTCAACATTATAAATAAATTATACGCTTAAGTCTACTACTACTTAACTTAAAATCGTTTAATCCATCATTAAGCTATTAATTGCTTTCTGTTTCAACGAATTCATGTTTCTAATATAGCCTGAATTTAATGATTGCAGATAGAAATCATTTTTGAAAAAAAAAAATCAGATATTTTTATATAAAATGGGCTGCGTTCATGAACCGCCATTCGTTCTGTCGCAAGCACGTCTAGAATGAATGCAGATCGAAAACTTGTTGCACAACTCTCCGGCGGTGACAAATTCAAACCATTCAAACAATTCCAACCGAAAAACAAACAAGCAAAAAAAACCCACACTGTTGAGACGATTTTACGAGTGCAAAGGCTTAAAACCTGAATTTGATTCGACTGATACTACATCTACAAAATTGAAAAACATCGTAAAAGGAAACGAAATTCATGATTAACTTTATAAATAATTAATCTCGAAACGCATTGCATACTGTATGTGATTTGATATGACAGAAAAATTGATTGAAAACTTCCATCCACTTCGCTGTAAATATCTATTTAGAAATTAGTAGTGCTGTGTGCAACTTTTGTGCATGGCTATATAAAACTTGAATCGCCATTGTGGATTTCAGTTCGAATCACTCGCCGCAATCCTACGTAAAGTAAACGTTTTCTTAGATTCATATTAAAATTACGTACATTTAACATTAATACGATAGTGCAGCATATTTTTGCTAATCAATAAATAATCATAAAAATTTTGGAAGAAAAAAAAAACAAAATAAAGCAATAAATTATCAAGTGTTGTGTGCCTAAATGCCAATTATTAAGATAATGATATCATCATGTGTAATTGTAAAATAAATAGGAAATAAACGTTTAGTGAGAATTTCTGGGTTTCGTAAAGTCTTTAAGATGTTTAAATCTCTAATACAAACAATTTGTTTGATGTGTAATTTTTCGCACGACAACAGACTTTAGTATAGGTATAAATCATGTGATTAGAGTCTAACCAGCATTAAATATTTGAGATAAGATTGTAGTGAAAGTAAGATAATAATGTGTAATCCATTTTTATCCCATAAAATAGAAATAATTTTGGAAAATGAATAAACGCTGGGATATTTATTATTATTGTACAGCTGCGAGATTGAAAACTTTGAGATCATGCTTCAAGTGTATGATGATTATTTGTTATGTTGCAACAAATGAAACATAATGAAATCAAATTCCATTTCTAATTGTGGCTGTCTGCTTTAATGCGGATTAACGCGACAAACCGAAAGGTTCCGACTTGAGATAAATCCTTGAGAGGTTTTTTTTGAATGTATAATTCTTGTTTATTGCGTCTATTGCGCTTGTTGCGCATTGATAATAATTGAACTGGATAAAATGTGGATTTGCAATTTAAATTGCACAGCAAACTAGATCAAACGATGATTAAATACTCGTAAAGGCACGTGTAATATACACATCGCAGATTATTTCATAATAAAAATTTGACAATTTATGACAGATTTGTTGTTTTATTTCTTATAACCGCTTTAAAATTATTTAGAAATGTTGAGAAAATGTCCCAAGAATAGTAATGTGGTAACACTCGCATGGAGTGATGACACCCAATGTTCAATAAACGTGCATGGATGCACAGTAACATCATGGCGCGTGAAGAACTGGGAACAATTGTTTCTAAGCCGCCACGCCAAACTCAATCAACGCAAAGAAATAATGGGTGGAGTATCAATTGCTTTTCCGAAATATGGCGGTTGGAAATTTGGTCCACCGAACGGATTTGCATGCATATCAAAATGGAAACTTATTAAAGGCCCTGTCTTAGATAAAGACACTCAAGATATTGTTGCTGTTTTTGAGCTAGTGGACAATCCACATACCAGATCATTTTGGAACTTTCAATTTAAAATTACCAATACAATCAGGTTATCAGAGTATTGCTTAGAAATCAAAAGCCACATTCAAAACACTAGTCCAGTTTTACCGATGCGTTTTAATCTAATGTATCCGATGTTTATCAAGGTCCCGAATGTCGAGACGATACAGATTGTAGGAATGAACAATGTGCAATATAACGACGAGACTATAAAGGAAGATGACGTATTGCGAACGGATCGGAAAAAGGCAATTGAGATTACCGCCTGGACGTACCGAATTTACAAACAAGCGCCAAGTACTGTGGACATTTTCCATGTTACTTCGGATTGTAGGATGAGAGTTGAAAATTCTGGCTTGCAGGATTTCATCGTATGGAATCCATGGGACGATCATGGAAGTCAGGTTGATGATTTCCGTCCTGAGCAGTATAAAGAAATGATTTGCATTGGTATGGGGAATATAAATGAAGAAATGCGTTTAGAACCAGGAGAAGATGATAATTTTCGAATAAACTTAGAAATCGTGAAAGAAAGACGTTCACGTTTCTATTAATAAATGCTTTAAAATCTAGAGGTCTCAGTATACAGTGTGCATATATGCAACATGTTGTACACATGACAGTTCTCCACCTTTATACATTGTGTCTTACATGTTCATTCATGTCTCTTTTGTAATCTGTAACGGTCATTTTCTACAATTTAGGTAATTTTAAAGTTTATACACTAACAAGACATGGATTCGAATAATTCTAATCCAACAAGGAGCTTTTCTGGAATGTCTATACAACTATCACCACAACGTGTGCCTCCTCGGCAGGAAAAGAATCCCAAAAGACAACGCAAGTTAGCAGATGTGGCCAAATTGCCTTCAGAAGAAGCGAAAAATGTGCTTTTTGAGAAACTCTTAAACGATCCAGAGAAAAAACGAATGGTGATACAAATACTACATGAAAATAGAGCTATAATTCAGGAGCATTTACAAAAAGAACAAGGGACTTCAAGTCCTATCAATAAAATTAAATCTACAGTGTCAAATGATAGTCCAACAGCTTCTATGAAGTATAAAATGATGGAAAAACAACGGAAACTACAACAAATGAATGCTGCTGCAAGTGCAGCCAAATTTGAGAATAAAATGAAGAGTTTGGCACTTACACCATCCAGAAAACCACCCAAGAAAAGTTTATTGAAAGGAGTTAATGCTTATGTTGAGGTGATGGATGCAAACTATACTGACAAATCTGCAGGAGTTAAAGCATTGCTTCTGAAGATGGGAGCCACTGTTGCTCCAAAATTGACTAGTGCATGTACACATGTTATTTATAAAGTAAGTTAATCAGATATTAACTAAACTTGGTAGAAACACTAATAATTGTTTCAACAGGATGGGAGTTATGAAACTTTCAAGAAAACAAAACAATTGAAGTTGCCATTGGTGTCTATCTTATGGTTGGATGTTATGGACAGAACTGGAATCAGAGCACCACCAGAAATCTATCCAGCACTTGGTGATTATGATGCTAAACAAACCTGTGATAAACTTTGTGAAGTATATTGTTTACTTAATTACTTTTGTATCTTAATATATAAAAATGAATGTATAAGCTTGCATGTTGTGAATGTTATATTAAGGGTGAAGGTTTTAAAATTGTTTGAGTTTATGAGGTAAGTATTGAGTTCAGTTTGTGCTTGCTGCATGAGTTTTTTTTTTGGTTCTATGAATGTAAAAGTAAATATTTCAGAAATTGGGCACCAAACGTCGGTCTTTAAGCGCATCTTCACTCTCAAATATTTCACCACGCAAGACGATCACCTCTAGATTTGAACTAGATGATGATTTTATGATTAATGATAAAGATGATGATGAAATCATTGAAAGTTCACAGCCTGACACAAACTCTACGCTTTTGAATATGACGCGACAAAGACTTCAAAATAAGTCGATCATTAACAACAAGAATACTCATGATGATAGTTCAAGCTCTGATATGTCTGATGCATCATCAGATACGCCGCTGATTGCAGGTCGTGCATCGCGCAAATCTAAAGCTGAGTTGAATGCATCGATGCAACTTAGTGAAAATCTTCGAAATAATTCTTATATTAGACGCACCTATGATGCAGATAAAGAAAACAGTAGTAGTTCAGAGCTAACAACAAAGAAAAGTTTGTTTAAACATGTTACTATGAGGCGCACGAACACACCTAAGACAAAAAGGGTACCGGAAGAAAAGGAGAGTGATTTATCACCTACAGCAGTACCTGCCACACCCAATACTCCAATACGTACAAGGAGGACACTGCTACACCCGGAATTATTGGGTATTATTGTTGATGAGACTGATAATGCAAGTGTTTCGATGGATTTAACGAAGCAAAGAAGTTTATTAACTAAAACAATTAGTGATACTCCGAAAAATAATGTTACTAGAAGGAAAACCAATAATTTAGTTACTGATATGGAGATTACTAATGCAAATGTACTTCCGGAGAAAACAAACTTGACAAAATCAGTTGTAGATAGAACTTCTATATCATCAACAAACACTAGTAAATCTGATGATTTAATATCATTTGCAGTAAAGAGGTCTTCAAGAAGGAATACAATTTTACAAAAAACACCTGAACCATCGGAGCAGATCAAAGTTATTTCCCGGAAATCTGATGACAAAGATACAAATGCATCCCTTGAGAAATTGTCATTAAGAATCTCAGATGGCACAGAAGTGGCTCAAGCTAATAAAAATTCATCTTACGGAACACCAAAGTCACTGAAGAACAGTAAGAGTCCTGAGAAAAATACAAAGACTTCTACAGCTTCATCATCAAGTGCAAAAAGTATTTCAGATGGTTCTGATGATTATCAGGAGATTGTTCAAACTAAGAGGAAGACATCCACTGCTATACTAAAGACACCTGTGGTGAATAAGAAGCAAAGTAACCAGATTATGGAACGTACTAGAAGTTCTTTGGCATCATCAGCGAATACAAGTACGAATGATTTAACCACCAGAAGAATTACAAGAAGAATGACAATTCATATGAGGACGAATGAACACAATTTGAATGTATCAAAGTCCCAACTATCTAATATTTCCGATGCGAAAACGAAAAATTCAACCGATGCGGAGATATCATTAAGAGTATCCGAAAAAACGAATTCTTCAGGCGTTCCATCTCTGAGAGTCTCAGTAGGAACATCGGTGGAGGGGGAAAGTTCGTCAACAAATTCAAATGAAGGATCACCAGGCAATGCGACAAAGACAAAACAAATCGCAGTAAGTCCTTTATCTGACCTTAGTCAAAAACTAAACAAAACTTCGATAAGCAACAATAAGAAAATGAATACCAGTTCAACCAAGACCGCCTCCACTTGTTATTCAATTATTGATGATAGTACGGATACATCGCGCGGTGAGCAATCGACGCGATCAAAATCAGGTAGGCCGAGCCTAATCAGTAATTTGACATCTTCGCGTGCCACTACCACCACTACATCAAGTGATGCTTCAAAGACTTCTAATAAGCGCAAACTTTGTAATCCTGATAATGCACTCGAGGAATCAATACTTGACGAAGACGATGAGGAAGAAGAACGCAACATTCGAACACAAGATACACAGTTGAAACTTAGAACTGACGCGACAAGAAAACAATTGGAGGATAGACTTGAATCACTTCCGATTTCTGGTAATCAAGGGGCAAAAACCAGAGATGAAAATAAAAAAGTTCATAATGATGACGACTTTGAAGAGCTACCATTACAAACGCAGCGCTCTCAACCGATACCGACGCAAACACAACAAAAAAAGAATAAATCGATAGTATGCACGCGTTTTCACTCACAGCAAATCGTAGAATTCCAAAATATTGTTAAAAAGTTAGACGAATTTATCATTGAACAAAATGTGAGCAGCAGGACTACTCACCTCGTTGCGATGGAGGCTTCCAGAACTGTGAATTTACTACGTGCCATGTCGCGAGGAATATGGATATTACGCAGCGAATGGGTTAGTTAACTGACACATTTTCAAAAACTATCTAACCTATAATCGTAACCTAACCTCATTTTTGTTTCTTGTTCAAGTTGTACGATTCAATGAAAGCCGGCAAATGGTTAGAAGAAGATGCTTATGAAATAACTGAATTCTCACCTTTGGTGCAGCAGCTTAGATTGCAACGGGAATCATTCGGGAAGGCGTTCTCACATGACGTGTTCACAAGTTGCGGAGCGATTCACATTTCTGCTGACTGTCGACCCAGCAAGCAGGATTTGGAAGAACTGGTAATACTTTGCAAAGGTGAAGTGACAAATGACATAGAAGCAGCAAAAATTGTAATAGGGGGTAATAGTGACAATGAAAGCGAATCTAAAGTCTATGTGAAAGAAGGATGGATTCTAGACTGTATAACTTTCGGACGTTGCAAGAAATTTAAGAATTATTTATCCAACCAATGACAACTTCACATCAATGAAGATAGGATTTTAATCTTTTATTTATCTATTTGTATGTGCAGCTGCGTGCATTTTATATTATAGTATTTGGTAGATCCAACAAAACAAAAGATTTCTTGTGTTTTTATTTATTATTGCAATCCAGACGTTTTAGTTTAGTTTATAATAATAGTTTTGTGGAAATTGCGAAAATGCGAAACATAGGAAATATAATAACAATTTTGTACACGATCACCGTGTTTTTACTAGAATCATGTATAATAATTTAAAGTAGTTGCGTAAAAAGTTTTAGAAATGGTGGTTAGAGATATGCACTGGAAATGCAGAATTGAATGAAGAGTTGCAAATGTTACTAATATTAAAATCGACTCCCCTGACCGAAAATTACAAATAAATAAGTCGTAAATCTAGTTGCGAATATGTAGATAAATAAAATATTAATCTATAACAAATGCTCGTACATATTCGACTGAACACTACGATCAAATACGGGGTCGTATCATGAGTATATACATCTTGTCGAACGCACCATTTATCTTTTGTCAATCGTGACGAGTTAGACTTGATTTTTACGAAAAATTATTCATTTTGAGACTGTTTCTTAAGCCAAGAAGATTTGCAAAATTGGATCGTCTGACTTCCTAATAAAAACAATGAAATTCAGCTTGAACAACCCTCTCCACATTCTTTGCAAGGTGTAAATATCTACGGCTGTGCCCAATTAACAAGTTCCTAACATTCGTTAGCAGTTTCTCAGTTTTTACACACTTAATCAAGACTTTACATTACTAAAAAATGTGTCACAGTTAGATAAGGATTACGAGTATATAATTACAGTACCGAGTATTTTTTACACCATAATTGATCATTTGTTTTGCATTTGTTTGTCAATTTCTTCTGATATTTACACGAGTTCAAGATTTATTTGTCGGCGTCTAAGTTGAATTGAATCGATGCTCCATTCGCACTCTTATAAGTTTATGGCACACACATACATAAGTGTTATTTAAAAAATATTTGCGGAAGTATTGTACCGGAATGTAATTATTGAATGTGTTCTCATTTGTCATCTACAACGGGACGGTTAAATTACAACACTGTAACGTTTTTATACAATATTGATACAATCCTAAATGCGGAAAAACACACACTGACATTTAATATACAACAGTTTTGGTGGACTAGTTGAGTTGAAACTATTTACAATATAGGTACGAACTATCGAAGAATGAATAAAATAGTCAAATCATCTACTTCCACAAACTCAATGTACGCCATCTTGTTTTGTTGTGTTGAGTATTCTAACAATGAGTAAAATGGTCCAACAGTTTTTCTTTTAATACATAAAACATCACTTGTGTAGTTCGATTTTTTATACATTGTGTATTACTTTGGCAAGTATGTACTTATATGCAGTTTTGAGTAGCACTAACTTAACGTAATCTAAGAGTAAGCATCTGTTAACATAGACTGGAAAATTCATCGAGGCCGCTAAGCACCAAATGCCGTTTCGTTGTTGTTGCCTTCGATATACAAGTACTGAGTATAAAAAAGATAAATGCAATTGTTTACCCAACGCGCTCTCACTTCAAATCCAACTCGGGACTGTCGAGAATGAACGGTCGAATGTGACCATGCTCGACGATCGGCGTCGAAAGCTCATCATTATCAACCTTTATGCGGATGCGGTTGTCTGGAAACGAATACGGCAGCGACTTGTGCACATCGCCATTTTGCGGACTGGCGATGGGCGTATCGAGCGGGCTAGTGTACGGTACATAGATGCGCAAAACATCAGGGCTAGGCTGGTGCGGGGTGGCACGCGGTGTTGAATGCGTGCTGAGGCTGAGCGCCTTTGCGCACTGGCACCGACACCCGATCCTACTGAACTACCGCCGCCCACTGAATTATCAGACATGTTGCTATGCGTATCCAAGCTGTTATCGTGCGCTTGCGAGCGCGTCACTGCCGAGAAGACGCTCAGATCAGCGGTGGATGTAACGCTCGTGTCCGCCAAAGATCTGCGCGATCCAGTATGCTCACAGTCCAGCAGCGAGCTGGCGTCGTCCATGCCCACATCGAATGAGAATTTTGACTCTGAAATGGTCCCCAAAATATGATTAATTATTATTTTTACTTCAACATAAAGCAAGTATCAAAAATTTACAAAATCAACAACTACTGGTACATAAAATAAAACATTGTGAGGTGTTACTTACAATTACAGAGTACAACCAACCAGCTTTTAAGTAAAAGTTACATAAAAGACGCCATGCACCGTGTTCGTGTTTCAGTTCAGGACTCTTACCCGTTGCGATCGGTTCATTTTATCTTTCGGATTATTGCGCACTGTACACCGACGGAACATGCACCATCGTCCACGGTTAGGGTGTGAAACGTGTCGATTGTCATGCTTGAGGGTAGAGGAGCGGTGTCAGGATGGTGAACATCACGCACACGCCGATGACGAGGATGCTGGAGATGGCGGCGCGACGAGAGGAGTCTGTGTTCAGGGATGTGATGCTTTGCGGGAGCGGGGTGCAGGGAAAAGTGTGGTTCTTTAAAGAAAAAATGATTAAATTAAATCACAACATACCAAACAACGCATCCAAACTTATATGCTGATTGTTGGCATACCTATTAACACATATTATTGGTTTGATTAATTTCTGGAAATTAGATTTAAATGTGCACCGACAGCAGTGATTCGAGATAAGTTGGTGCGATGAAGGAAGAAAGTATTTAACATTCATATTAGGTTGATTCTTGGATTAATAAATGGGTTCAGCTAAATATTCGTCATTTCTCATAACAATTAGTCGAAGTTATCACAACTTTTGATTGCATTCTTGAGTAACTAAATGTTATTTACATAACTGCAATTTGGCAAAACCCATTAAAATGGAAACCGATGAGTTAACCGAAACCAAGATTATATGTACACACAGAAATAAATACAATAGTGCGTGTTCAAATATATACATTCATAATCGGTACAAATATATAAATAATATAATCACATTGATAAAGCATGCATTTAAATCAGTATAAATACAATGATGACAGCACATGCTAAAACAATATCCGTGCTGGTGGTTTGCATTTGGTTGCAACACAAAAAAAAATGTAAACGATACATTTAGTTCACTCCAGTGGCAACACATGTAATAATTTGTATTGATTGTAACACTATGTAGTAGATAAAAGAACGAAAATATTAGTCACAGCTAGCTAACAAAAAGTATGGCAACATAAATCCGTGTATCCACTTGATACAAATATCAAATAATTTTGTGGAATGTGCTTCAATAAATCAGTGCGCCTCATTATTGCCTATTATCTCCTGCATCAGTACGTTTCGATTGCGTATATTAAATTAAATAAATAAACGATTACTAAATGTTGAGTGAAATTGTTTGTTCACGTTAATATCATCATTCGCTGGGATTCATAGGACAATTAACTAATCTAACTACGTTAAAATCAAATAAAACTCAACGTGACTATTTATCTAAATTGCAAATGGCAGTACGTGTAAAATAGTAATACAGATACACATTTCCGGCTTACAAACGGGTGCATTCAAACTGTCTACTACTCTCGGAGCTAGCGCATTTACTGCTCGAGCGACTGCTCAACGAGTGCCTGCTACTTCCTACCGAAAACGTGTCTAAATCAGATTCAGTACCTGTGTGTCCCACCGATTCGGTGCCGGCGCTCAGCTGAGATTCTCGATTGTCGGCATCGTGTTCGAACTCGTTCTCGTTCTCCACCACCGAGATGCGTGCCGCGTCGCTACGCATTGTCACGATTTGGCTCGTCTCTTTCTCCTTGTCGGTGAACTCTTCCTGTCGGATACCAACTTTGCGCTCGAGGGTTGGCTCCACGAAAACACCAAACTTTCTACTTGGGATTTCATCCTTTGTCGGTGGACCAGGATGTTCCATTTTTGCTTTTTTGAGTTCTTCCAGAGTTTTTTCTAGACTTGCAATTGAGACATCTTCGTCGTATTGAAAATCTTTATATAATTTTACCTAGACAATAAAAAATGTGAATTTTTGACAAATTATCCACAAAATATTGAATACAAAAGCTTCCAAACTTACTTGCAAATATTGCGTTATCGAATCCATATCATTGAGCCGTAACAAATTGCGCTTATGTAACTTTAATATCGTATAAGCCATCGCCGTAATAATCCGATCACCATCCAACAAATAAATATCCCAGATACGCAAGCAGAGACTAAACGGCACGCGCTCGACGAAACAAACAAAATACCACTTCAACGAGTAGAGAATCGCATCCAAGCCGTGTTTGTCAAAGTGCTTCTTGAGCTTCGATTGAAATTTGGTAAGTATCTTGTCATGGTGCTCTAAGAATCTAGTCAGTTTAGGAAATCCTTCCTTGTACAATCCGTGCATTGCATATTTTTCGCTCGTGAGCAGAATATGCACCGCCCAAAACGCCTCCTCTTCAGCCATGTACATGAGCAACACACCCGCCAACCCCGACATGCCTTGGCAATACCCAACCTCCGAATTGTACATCGCGTACGCGGTTAAAACATTGAACAAACTCTGCTGCTTAATGCTATAGCGTTCTCTATAATGAATATGTTCACGAAACTGACGATTCACATCGGAGTCGATTTGTCTCGCGTCGGTTGAATGCAAACGCGCAAGTTTACACATCTCCATGTACCGACCTGGGTTGCGTTTCTTCACCTCTTCGACGTCCAATAGCTTCATCCAAACCTGTGGACGTAATGAGTTTGGTATTCCTTTGTAGATTCTCTTGTGCAGTTTCTCTTTGACTTGTGGTGTATCCCAGAACTTGAGCATTTTCAGCCACTTCTTGGTGCGCTCGAGTTCTATGTGCTGCTTTTTTGCTTCCTGCGGGTCCAGCTTGGCCGGTAGCCGTTTGTCGTGTATAAACCCATATCGGTCGGTGGCGTGGTACACCTCGAACTGCGGATCTTCCCATGGGTCAATCTCGGCGCCTTCCGCACGGCCCAACTCATAACGCTTGAAGATTTTCTCTCGCTCTTCGAACGCTCGCTTGATTAAGTCTTCTTCGTTCATTCCATTCACAAGTGCAAATCAATGCCAGTGCAATAACATTGTTTTGTGTAGATTTTTCAATCTAAAAATAGATATTACTGCATAAGTATGACCGAAGCGCAGAATAACGGTCTCAACTAAATATATATATATCAAATTATGCACCAATTTCTTATTATTTAGTCAATAAATTAAAATGAATATAATTTTCTCTCACGATTTATAGGGCACTTAAGCAAAATCAACTTTAATTGCCTCTAACTTGCAATCTAAACAACTTTTCGATAAAATTTTAGCACTGTTAAACGTAGAATTTAAAACATTGTGTAATTCTTCAAAAATTATTATTATAACACGTTTATCTTCCGAATAATTAATTAAAAACCAGCACTGATTTGCAATCTGCTGATTTTGACTTTTACTACACGAAAATCGTAAAAAACGCCCACCGCGCACTTACTTGGACCCTGTTTATTTAGCTCACGCGATCATCTAGTTAAAGTGACTCGAATTGAACGCTATCGAACGCTCTTAATTAATAAATTAATGCGTTCCAATGCAAATGAAAGAAAATATTCGTTGAGTTCAGTTGAGCAGCAGACCATCGTCATCTGTCATATGTCAACCGCACACATTTAACTGCACCCTCGGAAATAAACAGTTATCTGCTTTGTGGAACAGTTGTGGCAATTCGCTGACGTCTAACGCGCGGTGGATTATCGAGCGTTATACTTCAAGGCGTTCCGGTGTGCTTTACCTTTTAATTGCGATGGAAATGTCCCGATTCCGGCGATAAACACCTTGCTTACAAACAACACACACCAACCTCACACTCGACGCACTTGACATTAGAATGGGAAATGGCAGTTTCTTTCACCTTTCTCACTGTCAGCTGTCATATTGATCGAAATATTTTTAGAGGACGCTGAGGTCGCTGTTACCAAGAGAAATTTACTACTTCCTTGTTTACAACAAGCGTTTAGAAGATAAAAATTAGTCGTTAAAGTAGTTACGTGCAAGTACTTGAAGTTTTTAAATATTTAAAAGCATTTAATTGCACATAATTATTTTTTTATTGAACTTGCAACAAAAATACAAAAGATAAGATAAATAAACAAACAACCTTAAAATAAATATTATATTTTTATGAAATATTATTATACTTACAACTAAACTCTAAATATAAAATATTTACTTGAATAATTGTTAAAGTTAGATAAATGTGTTATGGTGTTACTGCGCATGCGCACATTGAAACACGATGACTTGTTTCCATCTTGTTACTTGTTTGACAGAAAACGAGCCGGTGTTTGTTTGCCACGTTATTCCAACAAGTTTTATTAGATAGTTCTTAATTCCAAGCACTGAAAGCCAAATACAACAAACACAAAGTAAGCATTTAACTGTTTTGAGTGGCGATATATTTATGTTAAATTTTTGTAGATGGACTCAATGACAAGATATGTATCTCCAGTCAACCCAGCAATCTTTCCACACCTGACATTAATCCTGCTGGGAATTGGCATCTTTTTCACGGCGTGGTTCTTCATCTACGAAGTAACGAGCAATAAACACACGCGCAGCCTGCGCAAGGAACTACTAGTCTCATTGGTGGCCTCAATATTTTCTGGATTTGGTATTTTATTCCTGCTATTGTCAGTTGGTATATATGTTTAATAAAAGCACTCAGTAATTTAAGATTTAAGTTGCAACTACAAAATCACAACAACCACAAGACTCAGTCTGTTCTGCTTTTATTTAGAATTACAAACATGGGTTTAAATTTTAAATATATTTTGTTTTTCTATAATATAATAATAATATAAGTCGATAAAATGTGGTTTATAACATTTCTCAATAATAGCAATCAATAACAAGCCAAGTGTGCTTTGTGTGAATGTGTAAATATTATTCGTTCGCTCTTCCGGGGAACATTAGACAGGCATGAGGCCTGCCTTCTGGCGGCACTTTTGCATTAAGGCGCGCAACATGAACTGCTTCCGCGAGAGCGTTCGCACCTGTTTCAGAAAGACGTCCAGGTCGATCACGCCGCAACGCAACGCTTCACCCATGTAGTAGATGGCGTCTTCTAAGGCTGCTTCTTCTGCAAATGCGTTTAACAATCTGGAATGAATGCACAATTTTTAGTTTTTATTTATTAATTTCATTATTTTTAGGATGTTAAACACTTACTGCTTGTATAAGGGTGCAGTAGTTGTGACTGCATCGTCTACATCAATGGCTTCTTGATTGCTGAGTCGTTCTATAGCTTTCTCAAGTTCTTGTTCTTTGTCTTTGAGAACTAGGATATTTTTATCCAAATCACTCTGGAACATTAACAAATAATGATATAATCAATAAAAACGTCATCAATCATGATTTTAGACACATTTACGACTATATTTTGATAGAATTGCGCTCGTGTTGCAATATTTGCTTACCTTTTCCTTTGCTAATTGCTCTAAAATAGAATCCAACTTGGCTTTCCCCTGTTTCAATTCATACTGCGTCTTCTTGAGCGTATCCAACTCGGCTCGATTCTGTTGATACTGTTCCTTCATGCGTCGCATCAACTTATCTTCGATTGCAGACAACAGTGACTCTCGAATGTGTTCGTCTTTTATCGTACCGGCGTTAGCGTTTACGCCTTGTCCGGGAATATGGCTCGGTAGGCCTGCGCCGGGGACTGGATAGCCAGGAGCTGGTGGATACGGCGCTTGATAGGGTGGATAACCACCGCCGAAGCCACTTCCCGCTCCGCTATTTACGTTAGTATTTATAGGTGGATACGGAGGGTATCCACCGTAGCTTGAGAAACCTGGACCCGTTGGGTACGGTGGGAATTGATTTGTAGCGCCTTGTGATGCATATGCTGTTGAAACGAAGGAAAAATTTAAAACGTTGGATTGTTTTTAAACTGCAAATTACTTACGATTGTTTGGGTACGCAACTTCTGGTTGTTTGGGTCTTGCAAATACCGGCGGATGTTCACCAAATGTCATTATCATTACTTGTATTACGCCTAATAAATCGGAATCGTTCTAGAACAATAGAAACATGAGATATATTCACTAAATAACTCAAATTTGAGTTTATACAACTACAAAAGCATAGTTTTTAAGCAGAAATTGTGTTTTTTGAGAGATCATAGAGTTTATCCAATTTATTAAAGTAGTATCCTTCAAATATGTGAATATTTTTCTGGTTATTCAATGGAATGATTTCTAACAGCACAATTTTTGAACCCAAGTGTTAAACATTTGGAAAGTACAATAATAGAATGCTAAAAATATAAAACTCTTGAAATATGTACTTACTGGTTTCCAATCATGTAAATATGGCAAATAAATCTTTCCATTTTGATCCACATAAATAGAAACTTTAATTGACATGTCACTGGTAGGTTTCACATAACAAATGGGAGCATTTCTCGGATGTGTGTCCATGAGCCATATTTTAATAGGAATATTATATGTATTGCCTTTATAACGCACGGGAATTGTACCTGTTAAGTTAACAAGCTGAAGAGATGATCCATCATTGAATGCTACAAGAAAACCAATCATACATTACTACAATACTTTAATAACAAATAAAAGAAGTCAAATTTACTGTATGTCTCAAGCAGAGGTTCTAATCCTTTGTATTGATTGGTGGCTGTTACGATATCCGTGATTGCGGAGTCAGGTGTTTTATACTAGACAAAACGTAAGAAATGAGTATTTATAGCTGAATAACATCATCACCACATCATCATATCACTATGAAATGTAAGAATGTATGCTTGGGCAATACTTACGCTTCCCAGCCATTGCCGAAGCACCGAAGCGTACACCATTTTTGTATGGAATATCACTCCCTCGTTTTGTGTTAATATCGACTTAATTAAACTATTCTGATGGCTAAATTATTATTGAATTCAACTGAGTTCGTACAGTGACTGCGACGAAACAACAATGACAGCTGTCTAGTCACTACACGCACTATTCCACTACACACACAATTAATCCACACTTGATTTTCCGAGCCCGTGATTTAAACTTACTCAAATGAACGATAAGTAATGGTATAATGAAGTAAAGCTTACAGTAAATTATACGAATGTAAAAAAATTACTTGAATGATGCAATGAGTCATTGTTATTCTTCAAAATAGATATTATACAAAGCGACAAGAAAAAATGACTTTAAATGCAATTCTATTAACACTGACGTTTCACTAAAGTTACATGAATTTAAATAATTCAATCAAAACTGTGTGTACTTAGATAATTGCAGTAAAAGTATAATTATATAGTTTTGAAACATTTTCATCAATTTTTAACTCGTTTCCGTATTATTTACGCCCTGTAAATCCTTCCAGTAAACATTGCTAGAATGCGCATGCGCACAACGTACACACTTGTCTGACAGAAAACAAACGGGCATCGATTATTTTATGTGGGTGGTAGAGAAAACAAACAAAATATAGAATAAATTCAGAATATCCAAGATCTTGCAATCAACTAAAAATGGCCCAAGTCGCTGAACCTTTAACACTTTCTAGAGGTAATACTTTTATCTTCTAATTCTTATTCTATACAATATGCGTCCTAATTTTGTTGTTTTGATACCTTGCAGACATTAAAAGATCTGTGGAGTTACTAGAAAAACTCCAGAAAAACGGCGAGGTGCCAGCGACCAAACTCGCCGCTTTGCAGAAAGTCCTGCAATCAGACTTCCTCAATGCAGTGAGAGAAGTGTATGAACATGTGTATGAGACTGTTGATATTCAGGGTTCACAAGATGTGAGAGCCTCAGCCACTGCCAAAGCCACTGTGGCTGCTTTTGCAGCCAGTGAGGGTCATGCTCATCCAAGAGTGGTAGAACTACCTAAAACTGAAGAAGGTTTAGGGTTTAATGTAATGGGTGGCAAGGAACAAAACTCCCCAATTTATATATCAAGGATTATCCCTGGGGGTGTTGCTGATAGACATGGGGGATTAAAGAGAGGAGATCAACTGTTGAGTGTTAATGGTGTTGTAAGTATTAATTTGACCTATTTAATTTAATAGAATTAAATTTATATTCATTTTTCCTGACTTAGTTTAGTTGATAATCAATATATTGATTAATTCTATATATTTGTATCTCTTTAGTCTGTAGAAGGTGAAAACCACGAAAAAGCTGTGGAACTACTGAAGCAAGCCCACGGATCAGTAAAATTGGTAGTTCGTTACACACCAAAAGTTCTGGAGGAAATGGAATTGCGTTTTGATAAACAACGCGCCCGCAGGCGAAACAACTACAATTAGGCTTAAATATTTAACTTTAATTCTTAAAAAATAGATTATTTGTGCAAAGAAATATAAGTAAAGCATTTATTTATGATTATGAAATAGTATTTGGATAGAAGTTGAAGATCTTTTGTGGCTTTTATATTTATATTCAAAAATTGTTTAGTATTCCATGAATATATGTGTAATAGTATCAAAATATTCATATTAAAGCTCTAGTTACTCATTAATACTTATTGTATTTCTTTATGAAGAAAATTATTCTCTATTCCATTTGCTATCAATATTTTAAATCCTGACTGCATGAATGTACATAACCTTACTTTTCTAGCAAATCTTTAAAACTCCACAAAATGTTTTTCATAAGAACATCAATAAACTTCCTTCCTCTGCTAAGAAACAAACAAATATACTCACTTTCAAGATATAGATCACTCACGAGTTTAAATTTATGGGTAATATACAATTTAAAACTTAGTTTTAAGTAATTATTCAATGATTTGTGTTTGTAATCAGGATCAAGACTTAAATACTGATATAAAACACAAAATAGAAGAGCACTGGTCAAAGAAATTAGCCACTGATCCAAGTATTAAATACAATGAAGCCTGTAATGATACAAAAGAGAAATATTATGTGCTGTCAATGTTTCCTTATCCATCAGGACACTTGCACATGGGTCATGTTCGAGTCTACACAATCAGTGATTCCATTGCAAGATATCAAAGAATGAATGGAAGAAATGTATGTTTTTATTAATTTAATAGTTATGTTAATAATATTGTTCTTTATAAGGTAATTCATCCAATTGGTTGGGATGCATTTGGCCTCCCAGCTGAAAATGCAGCAATTGCAAACCAAACATCTCCAGCTACATGGACAGTCAACAATATAAAGCACATGAAGGATCAGTTAAAACATTTAGGCTGTAGTTTTGAGTGGGATAGAGAGTTAGCCACTTGTGATCCAAGATATTATAAATGGACACAGGATCTATTCCTTAAATTGTTTCATGCTGGTCTAGCATATCAAAAGGAAGCACTTGTTAATTGGGATTCAGTTGATTGTACAGTTTTAGCTGATGAACAAGTGGATGAAAATGGGTGCTCATGGCGTTCAGGCATCAAAGTGGAAAAGAAACTGTTGAGGCAATGGTTTATTAAAACAACTAAATTTGCTAAAGCTTTACAGGATGGCCTCAATGATTCAATTTTACAAGATTGGAGAGACATTATTAAGCTACAGAAACATTGGATAGGTGATTGCAATGGGATTGCTGTTGATTTTAAAGTGAAAAAATCAAATGGACAAGAAACAACTAATGAATTACTAACTTTATGGACTGACAAAGTAGAGCATTTGGAAACTGTTAAATTTATAGCAGTATCAAGCAACAATTTAATAGCTAAAAAGTCAAAACCTTTAAAAAAGTTCAATGAAAATACACAAGTATTAAATTCAGTCGCGATAAATCCGATTACAAACGAAGAATTACAAATTTACGTTACCAATGAGTTGGAATTTGCTGAAGGAACCGATTGTCATTTAGGAATGCCACTTGTGAATGAAAAAGATCAATTATTTTGCAATCAACATAATATAACATATAACAATGATACAATTGATTTAAAATTCAAATCTAAAGAAGATATAATTAAAAAGTTAACAGAACTTAATGCAGGTGGTTATTACACGAGTTCAAAGTTACGCGATTGGTTAATTTCTCGTCAAAGATATTGGGGTACGCCAATACCAATAATTCACTGTAAATCATGTGGGGCTGTACCTGTTCCAAAAGAACAGTTGCCTGTTATATTACCAGAATGCAATGAGGTGTTGGGAGTCGGATCAGTTTTGGCCTCGAATGAAGAGTGGAAAAAAGTGGATTGTCCTAAGTGTGGACAGCAAGCTGAACGGGAATCAGATACAATGGACACTTTTGTAGATAGTAGTTGGTATTACTTACGATATTTAAATAGAGATTGTAATAATGAAATGTTTGACGTCGAAAAGGGTAAGAAAATGGCGCCGGTTGATTTATATATTGGCGGAAAAGAACATGGTGAGAATAGTTTTAGATCATATTTTGTGTTTTGAGTATGTGTTAAGAAAATGTTGGTTTCAGCGGTTTTACATTTGTATTATGCGCGTTTTATAAGTCATTTCTTGCATTCCTTGGGAATGTTACAAGAACGAGAACCATTTAAACGCCTCTTGGTACAAGGAATGGTTATGGGGAGGAGTTACAGAGTCAAAGGAACTGGAAAATATCTATCGCCGAATAAAGTTAATGTTATAAGTAAGTTTTCTTGTACCAATGATGGGGTTATTTATTTAAAAAGTTGCAGATGTTAAGAAAAACAAAGCAACCTGCAAAGAAACAGGTGAGCCTGTTGTAATGCAATGGGAGAAAATGAGTAAAAGTAAGTACAACGGAACCGACCCAACTGATATGTTTAATGAATATGGAGTGGACACAACCAGATTACTAATATTGGCCGATGTAGCTCCAACTTCACATCGGAATTGGAACAGCAACAGTAAATATTAACAGATTAAATTCCCAAACAGATTAATTTATTTAAAAAAAAAATGTTTGATTAGCTTTCCCAGGTGTAATCAACTGGCAAAGAAGGCTCTGGCTAACAATTAAAGATTTCATACATCATCGAAAGGAAATGCCAGAAATAACTAAGCAGGACGAGTTTCAAGCGAACGAGGACTACATGTTTGATTCGCGAAATTATTACGTGAAGGGCGCAACATTTAATTATTGCGATTCGCAGCAAATAAGCGTAGCCATTTCAAAGCTGCAAGGTTTGACGAACAGTATAAGAAGAGCGCCTGCAACAGTTTTTGCGCGTAGTTTACAATTTGAAAGGGCTTTAGCATGCCAAATTATTTTGTTAGCACCTATGGCGCCGCATTTTGCATCTGAGTTATGGTCTGGTTTTGTTTCGGCTCCGAATAGATTGACAACCAATGAAGAAATTCAGTGGGATAAAGGTGTGTTGGAACAGAGATGGCCAGATATTGACTACGACTATAATCTAGACTTGGTATGCCAGGTAAATGGGACTGAAAATGCTGTTTTGAAAATGCCACGGAAAGATTTGGAAGTTTTACCGAAAGATGTTGCTATAGAGCTAGCCATGAAGCAGGCTAAAGTGCGGGAAGTATTAGCCACACGAACAGTTATAGATGTTAATTTTGTCATACACAAAGGCTACGAAGGAGTTGTAAATATAGTGACAAGCGATCCACCGCCAAAGGCCAATGCAGATGATGTTGACAACTCTACTGCTGTTCATAATTAAAGTGATAAAGTTAATATACTTATATTTATTGATTATGATCTACCATTTAATATTTGTGTTTTTAACAGAAGCCTGTTGATTTTTCCAGTGGTAGTATACGGTATTGCGTCCTTTGTGACAAACTTTATTCCAGCGCGAATTTGATGAATATCATCGAGATGGTTGTTCGCATATTTTAATAATTCCTCACTGTTAACGTGGCTGTTATGCTTCAAAACAACTATTGCCATAGCATGATTATCGTCATGTTCTACTGGAACGCCAATAACAACGCATTCTGTTACACATGTGTGTTTTAGAATATGGTGTTCAATGTTCTTTGGAATTACATGCCAACTGCGATATTTGAACATTTCCTTGTTTCGATCAACTACAAACAGGTCGAATTCATTTGATAAGTAACCAATGTCTCCGGTCTTAAAGAAACCATCAGTATCCCAACAGCCAGTTGAGTTTTTCTTGTAGTATCCATTCATTTGAAACTTGTGCTTGACTCTAATTTCACCGGTTTTGTTTAAGTCCAAAGGTTGTTCTGTTTCGGGATTAACAATCTTTATAGTTTGACCGTTATGAACCGGCTTTCCAGATGATGGAACTCTGTAATCTGTGTTTATTGAGACACTTCCAATCTCAGTCATACTATACGAGTTGATAATGTAAGCATTTGGCAGCATATCTGCATATTGTTTTTGTTTTGTTTGTGATATTGGTCCTCCTAATATAACTAGATGATTAAGATTGGGTTGAGGAACTTTTAAAGTGTCCAGAGCTTCTATGCAATGATAATATGACATTGGTAATATTTTTACCTAAAATGTATGCTATACAATTTTAAAGTCACTTACAATATCTACTAAAACTTACATTGTACTTGCCGACTAAACCCCAAATTGTTTCAGGATCAAATTTGCAACAAGTCAATCTTTTGAACCCATAGTAATAACTTGCCAGACTGATTACAACACCAGAAATCCAGTAAAGTGTTGTAAAACTCAAAACCGTATCTTGATGTTTATTGCTATCAGATAGTTCAATGAATTGTTTGGTGATAACATTTGAGCTTAAATAATTGTGGTTTAGACAAGACCCTTTTGGAAAACCTGTTGTACCACTGCTGAATACAATGCAAGCAGTGCTACTTGTATCTTCAACAAACACAAGTTCAAATTGCTTAGCATCTTCATCAGAATATCGTTTTAAAATGTTTGGTAAATTTTCATACTTTTTACTTTCTTGCAACGTGATTAATTTATAGTCATTGTCTGCTCTGTAGTTGCTCTCTTCAATTAGATCAATACAATCTTCAGAAACAAAGATTAATTTGGGTTCTGTTATATTTAAAAGATGCGTGGTAACCTCAGGTGATAAAACAGGATCAGTAGATGCACAAATTGCTCCAATAAATAAACTGCTAATGAAAGGCACAGCACTGTTTAAATTATTTGAAGAACAAGAAGATATAATATCTCCTGGTTGAATTCCGGTATCTTGCAGGTAGATTGCAAGTTTCCTGCATCTATTAAAGAAGTCAATGAATGAATCCTCATATCCTGTTTCTACATTAATCTAAAAGTTTATTTATTTAGATTTGTTATTAAAGTTATAAATAATAAACATTAAAGTTAAATGCATACATGTGCAGTTAGACCAATTTCAGCATATTTGCGCATCTTTTCAAATAACATTTTTCCAAAACCGCCTGGCAAACATGGATTAACATCTCCTCCAGTTTTGAGTTCTTTACTAAATGGATCAAACACATACATATCTAAAAGTGATAGGAAAATTATGCATTAAATAAAATTTTTTGCATTTTCTGCTGAAGATAAAGTTTAAAAAATATACTTGTACCTGACATTTCTATTATGTTTCTTGTTAGACTAGTGTTTTAAAACTAATTATGTAATTTTTACGCCGGCGTTTTTGAAAGAATATATAACGCTTTCATATTTTATTGAGTTGTATTTAATTATTTGTCATAACTAACGTATTAGGTAAGTCCAAACGACAAAATTTGTTGTAATTTAATTACTTGATTGGTTTTGCATTCTAATTTTACGTTAAGTGTTCATAGATATTCATATTACCTAGGTAAATTGTTTACTAGGAAACAATTCGGTTTTACAAGTGTTGCGATTAGCCGATAATTATTTTCGTATTTGCACATAACGCAGTTACTGTTATTAATATTTATTAGGTAATATTTGTGTTTTTAACAAATATAAATTCACTCAAGGGAAAAAATCACATAACATGACCTTGTTATTCAAATTTCTGGTATTTTCAGTTTATTTGTGAAATATTACAATGCAACAAAGTTATGTTTGCTATCATTATCTATTTATTCAATAACAATATGTGTTACATTTTAAATATTTCACTTACACGAATGTTTTTGTGTTGATGTGTACATCAATTGCACTTGCCACTCAGAATTTGTGTTTTTAACAAACGTCGGTTAATTTTCCCAGTGATAGTGTACGGAATAACATGTTTTGCAACAATTCGCACTCCAGCCCGTATTTGGTGAATGCTATCCATTTCGTCGTTGGCATATTTGAGCAATTCCTCACTGCTAACAGTGAAGTTATCCTTTAAAACAACAATTGCCATTGCATGATTGTCGTCTTCTTCATTAGGAACACCAATAACAACGCAGTGCTGTACACATGCATGTTTAACAAGGTGGCGCTCGATTTTCGCCGGTAAAACATGCCAACTGCGGTATTTGATTTCCTTTATTCTATCAACAACAAACAGCTCATATTCATCCGTTAAATAACCAACATCACCAGTTTTGAAGAAACCATCTTCATCCCAACAATCAGCAGAGTTTTTCTTGTAATATCCATTCATTTGAAACTTGTGTTTGACTCTTATCTCGCCGACCCTGTTTAAATCTAAAGGTTGTTCAGTTTCCGCATCGACAATTTTGATAGTTTGATTTTTATGCATAGGTTTTCCAGATGAACGATTTTTGTAATCATAGTTTACTGATACACTTCCTGTTTCAGTCATTCCGTATGCGTTAACAATCTGAGCATTTGGTAACATTTCACCGTATTGATCCTGTTTCGCTGGCGAGATTTGTCCTCCCATTATCATTAAATGGTCGAGTGACAGTTGAGGAGTTTTTAAAGTTTCAAGTCCTTCAATGCAATGATAATAAGACATAAGCAATTTATTCACCTAAAAAATTCTCTTTTAATATACAAACCAATTAATTACATATAAAAAAAACTTACTTTGTACTTTTCCACAAGCGCCCAAAGAGTTTTGGCGTCAAATTTACTACAACTCAACTTTTTCAATCCGTAGTAACACACACTTAGATTAATCATAACCGCCGAAATCCAATAAAGTGTCGTAAAACTCAAAATTGTGTTTTGATGCTCTTTGCTATCAAACAAATCGATGTATTTATTGGTAAATACATTGGCATTTAAATAGTTATGATTCAAACAGGTGCCTTTCGGTAAACCTGTAGTCCCACTGCTGAATAAAATACAAGCAGTTCTAGTTGTATCTTCAATAAATACAGGTTCAAAATATTTTGCTTCTTCATTAGTATATCTGTCCAAAATATCCGGTATATTATCATATTTGTCGTGCTTCTGTAATACGATCAGTTTACAGTTGCTGTTGGCTTCATAATACTTCGTATTTTTTATGAGATCAATGCATTCTTCAGAAACAAAAATCAATTTTGGTTCTGTCATGTTTAACAGATAAGTTGTATCTTCTGATGATAAAATAGGATCAGTAGATGCAGTGATTGCACCAATAAATAAACCGCTGATAAAAGGAATAGAACTGTTTAGATTGTTTGGAGAACAAGAAGAGATAATATCTCCTTGTTGAATTCCGATATCTTGCATATAAATTGCTAACTTCTTTTGCATCTCAGCCTGTTTCTGCTATGATCTAAAAATTAATTTATAAGAAATTGGGAGTAAAAGTACACAAATTTGATTTACCTGTGCTGTTCTACCTCTTTGAGCAAACATTTCAAGTTTTTCAAAGAGTAATTTTCCAATACCGCCTGGTAAACACGGATCAATATCTCCACCAGTCTTTAGTTCTTTAGTAACGGGATTAAATACGTATTTTTCTATAAATAATTACAATAAATAATAATTTCAAGTACTTAAAATCTGACATACCTTCCATATTGACTAAATTACTGTATTTCTTGTTCAGTTGCGATGAAAAAACTGTTTTTAAAATCTTACTGTTTGTGCACTTATACTGAATATTATCATTTGAAGCTGTTTACAAGTTAAACTAATTATATATAGTGAATATATTCAAAGAAAAAGAAAATGTAGCACAATGTAAACCTTAACATCTCTCGAATAACTTATAATCCTTCTAATTGTAAGATTTATATATTTATTTAGTTTTTGTCGAGTCATGCTTATCATGCTCGTCATGATAGTTACAAATTGTAATTATTACAATTTAATTACATTATATATATAGCAGTGCAAGATACAAAGTAAAGCATTGTTTATTGGGTGATAAGGAAAGATCATTAGTTAAACAGTTTTACAGATTATAAGTGAACAAATACAATAATCAAAGTTGAATGAATTTAAGTAAATAAAAACTCCAATAAGTAAATAATAATTATGTTTAAAAGGTCACTGATATTGCTCATTACTCGCATTGTCAATAAATTACAAACTACAAGGCCGAATTTAGATAATTCTGCTTCAATTTCAATCTGTTAAGTTTTCCAGTCGGCGTAAATGGAATCTGCTCTTCTAGAATCAATTTAATTCCACCACGCAGCTGATGAAGATTATCCATCTTATCATTGACAAATTTCATTAATTCATTCTCAGCAATGGAAACCTTTTCTTTGAGTACAACTATACCCACAGCATGATTATCATCTTCTTCATGTGGTATTCCGAGAACAACCGCGTGAAGAACGGCAGGATGTTGACGTAGAACTTTTTCGATTTTAGCAGGAATCACACGCCATGCACGATATTTAAACATTTCCTTGATGCGATCAACTATAAACAACCGATAATTACCATCTAGATATCCCAGATCACCAGTTTTAAAGAAACCATGCTCATCAAAGCCATTCGCAGTGTCTTTCTTATAATATCCATTCATTAAATATTTTCCTTTAACGCGAACTTCACCTGTCTGGTTTAAATCCAACGCTGTCCCACTTTCCGGATCAACAATCTTAATAACAATATTTCTATTAATCGGTAAATATGCGGATTCTGGTGAATGACTTCCGTCATTGTAGGCAATACTATTCGTTTCCGTCAATCCATAACCAACAAATAATGCTGTGTTTGGTAGTTTCCTTTTAAATTCGTTGTATTGCAAAGTTGGTATTGGTCCACCAACTATAACCACCGCTTTTAAATCCGGCATTATATGCTTCAAGTATGGTATGCATTGCATTCCATTGGAATAGGAAATGATGAATATATTCACTTTTAGTTTATCTAAATCATCCCAGACTTGGTTAGGTATAAATTTTCTAAAGACTACTTTAGTTACACCAAAGTACCCAGCTGAAAGTGTTATAGAAACTCCTGATATCCAATAAAGTGTTGTAAAAATGGCAAATTTAGTCATGCCTAGCCTGGTCATCTGTGTATCATTCACCGCAAAATCTGCAACGATTGAATTATGACTCAAGCAAATACCTTTCGGTAATCCAGACGATCCACTACTGAATAAAATCAGCGCTGTTGAATTTGTATCTTCAATATGAACCGGATGAAACTTTTCTTCGTCTTCTTCCGTGTACATATCAAAACAAATTGATTCACCATATAATGGTACTATTTTTGTTTTGTAGGAACAATTTTTTGTTGCATTTCTAATCAAATCTGTTGATTTCTCACAAACAAAAATTAATTTTGGTTCAACCATGTCTAATAAATGTTTTGTATCTTCAACAGCAATATCTGGATCAGTTGAAGCAATAATAGAACCAATAAAAATTGAAGCGAATAATACAGCTGAATTGTTCAACGTGTTTTCGGAACACATTGAAATGACATCGCCAGGTTGAATGTCCTGCTCTTTCATGAATATAGCAATTTTGATACATTTGCTTAGAAGCTTTTTGAAGGATTCTTCTATGCCTGTTTCTCTTTCAACTTGTGCAATAATTCCTGCTTTCGCATGTTTTTTCATATTTTCGAACATTGCTTTTCCCAAACCTCCAGCTGGGCAAGTATAAGCCGTTCCTCCAGTGAAGAGCTCTTTAGTCTCATGATTATAAACATATTTTTCGGAGTCTAGGAAAAATATGTATAATTAATTAGTGATAATTTATCAAAAATTGATAGTTACCTTGCATGATGAAAGCTGAAGCAGTTTTGAATGCAATTTTGCGTTAACTCGTTAGGAAATATATTGATAAGGGTATTTATAATTGCAAATTCTTGTTTTTACATTCTTGTAAAGCGATAGGTGAAATATGTTCTCTTATCTTTGCCAATATGCCTTAAATATGTTCAAGAATGCTTATATCAAGTATTAGGTAGCCGCATGGGAAATAATTTTCGAGAATTCAGGTAGTTAAATACGTCATAAGTATTTCCTGAATGTATATATAGATACGTCAATTTTAACAAGGAAATATTTCCAGTATTGTATCTGGTGATTTATTTTTTGGAAAACACAACATTAAATTATATAAAAAACGAATAAAACTTTTGAAGTGAAAACTTTTTAGAATCGTTGTGATTTCAAAATTAATGAAACGACACTAAAAAGAGACAAACGTATTTGTTTGGCTATACCATGCCAGAGAGAGAATAGAGAAATTGTAGTTTTTCAGATTTTGAAGATTTTTTAATAATTTTTTTCGATGATTTTTGATAGTGAATATCTTCTGAACTAAAAGCACTAGAATCCAACGAATTGCAGATTATGAAAGATTGGAAAATTCTCTTTAAGATTAAAACATAAAATAATCAAACATCGTAGGGTTAAAAGGGCGAAAAATGTGACTAAATGTGCTAAAAATTGAAATTTTTCAAATTTTGACGATTTTTTACAATTGCGAATATCTTGTAAACTAAAAAAAGATAAAAAGGAACGAATCGCAGAATCTTAATCTACGGACAATTCTCTATCAAATATTTCAGTTCATATATTGTATCAAGTATTAAAAAGATCAACATAATCAATTTGAATACATCTGCTTCAATTTACGTCTATCAATCTTCCCGGTGACAGTGTAAGGAATCTCATTATCAGCGAGAAATTGAATCCCCGCGCGAATCTGATGCATAACATCCATTCTATCATTGACCAAATTGATTAGTTCATCAGCAGATACTGAATAACCATCCCTAAGTACCACAATTCCCATTGCATGATGATCATTGTCATTTATTGGTATTCCAATGATTGTAGCGTGAAGTACAGCATGATGTTCTCGTAGGATCCTCTCGATTCTTGCAGGAATTGTATGCCTACCATTGAATCGAAACATTTCTTTGATCCGATCCACAATAAAGAGTTCATACTTTTCATTAAAGTATCCAAGATCTCCTGTTTTGAGAAAACCTTGGTTATCCCAGACATCTATTGTGGTGTTTTTATAATATCCACACATAGCTGTTTTGTTTTTTATACGAATTTCTCCGACTGTGTTTAAGTCTAAAGCAGTTTCCGTATCAGGATCAACAATCTTTAAAAAATGTGTTTATTATTTATGAGAAATTAGTTTTTAGTTACTTACTTTGAAAATGACATCTTTAGGTACTGGTTTGCCTGATGATTCAACCGCGCAGTCTCCATATTGAACTGTGGCGAATCCAATCTCTGTCATTCCATATCCATAAACAATATGTGTATTAGGAAGTTTGTCTTTATATTCTTTATAATATATAGCTGCAATTTGTCCAGAAATTATTCCTAGACACTTTAAATGTGGTAATGAATGCGTTAAATGCGGTAGTGAATCCATTGCTTGTGAATATGGTAAATATATCAAGTTGACCTTAAACCAAATATGCAATTAGCAGTAAAATTTAATTAGTAAAAAAATATTTGTACTTTAAGTTTGTCTATAAGGTCCCACATAGTTTCTGGCTTGTATTCCTGTATATTAACTTTAATATGACCACAGAAAAACGGAGCTAGAGTAAAATATACTCCACAAAGGCTGAAGAGTGTAGCATATCCAGTTATTCTCATTTGCGGAATAATATACGGTAAACTGTTATGAAAGATTGCATCAAAATCAGCACAGAGTGCATCATGACTAATGCGTGCTGCTTTATGCAAACCGGTAGTACCACTACTAAACATCATACATGCGGTTGACGATGTATCATTAACAAAAATAGGTTCATATATTTCCGTTTCCTTATCAGTGAATTGGTTTAATATTTCCGGAATATTTTCCAAGGTGTCGTCTTTATAAAGAGCTATTAATTTGCATTTGTAGTTTTCGCCTTCTACAGCTCCTTTTATGAGGTTTATTGTGTCTTCAGAAGCAAAAATCATTCTTGGTTCGACTACTCCTAAAAGATATTTTGCTTCAATCACCGAGAATCTGGGATCTGTTGAAGCATTGATTGCACCAATGAAAAGTGAAGCTAAAAACACGGCGGAATTGTTCATTGTATTGTCGGAACAAATTGAAATAATATCGCCGTTTTGAATGCCTTGTTGTTTCATGTATAATGCAAGTTTAATGCATTTATTCAGGAATGCTTTGTATGATTCTTCTTCGCCAGTTTCTCCATCAATCTTTAATACGTGTGGATTAATATTTATTCGAATATTTGAGCGTTTATTTATTTATTTACCTGTGCGATTAAGTCATCATCACCGTATTTCTTCATTTTATCAAATATTCCTTTTCCAAGACCTCCAACAGGGCATGGAAAGGGTGCACCTCAGAGTTAAGTTCTTTAGTTTTCTCATTGTAAACGCATTTCGAAAAAACAGGCATAATAGTATACAAAACTTTGTTTCAACAATGAAACAACAAGAATGAGTGAATTGCAATGAGTGTGACGAGATATTTAAAAATTAGTTAACAAATGTCTTTTTTGGTTGCAAAGAAGAAAAACATAATAATTAGCTAGTATATCATTAGAATATTTGTACAAAATATTTAGATTAAGTACATGTGCAAATATTTTTGAAGCAAACAAGTTTTGGTATTATTTTTTACTAAAACTTAGCAAAATACTAATGAGAGATAAAAGTTTAAGATAACATTCGCCAATACTAAATACCAATTAGGTATATTTTAATTGAAATATTATTCAGAGTACATTTTTTTCAATTTAAGACGACTTATTTTACCGGTAACAGTGAATGGAATCTCATTTTCAGTGATAAACTTAACTCCAGCACGAAGTTGATGAATGTCATCCACTTTATTATTGACGAATTTGACCAATTCTTCACTTGATACAGAAAATCCATCTCTCAATACTACGAAACCCATAGCATGATTTTCATGATCTTTTGTTGGTACACCAATAACGATTCCATGCAAAACAGCTGGATGTTCTCTCAAAACTTTTTCGATTTTAGCCGGTAACACGTGCCAACTGCGATATTTAAACATTTCCTTAATACGATCCACAATATAGACTTGATATTTATCATCTAAATATCCAAGATCTCCGGTTTTGAAAAAACCATCAGCATCCCAACAATCTTTGGAGTCTTGATTGTAGTATCCGTTCATTTGATTTTTACTTTTGACACGAATTTCTCCGACGGTGTTAAGATCCAGAGGAGTTTCTAAATCTGGATCAACAACCTAATAAATTTAAAATTTGTTTATAATATTAACATAATTTTATGATTTTTGTGGTAAATATACTCTTAAAATGAGGTTTTTAGCGGCAAGCAACCCAACACTCTCCGGTGAGCAACTTCCATCATTTTTCGTAACATAACCTATTTCTGTCATACCATAACCTCCCCCAACCAACAAGTGAGGAAGTTTAGTTTTAAATTCCTTGTGGTACTTGACAGCGATCATACCACCGACTATCAGCAGGCATTTCAAGTGCGGCATTGGTATTTTCAAATGTTGTACACTGTCCATAGTATGAGCATACGACATATAAAGAATGTTAACCTTGAAAATGAATATTAGGTACACCAAGTGACTCGCTTTGTTTGTTAATATATTAGTGCATACTTTGTGCTTATTAAGATCATTCCAAATATTTTCCGCTGAAAATTGCCTGTAATTGAGTTTTATCATTCCTTTGGAGAATGTAGTTAGGCTGAAATATACTCCGGAATACCAATACAAGGTAGTGAATCCACATAATATTGAACCATTTGAAGCAAGCGGAGCACTGAAATAATATTTTGTGCAAAATATCAAATTTTAATCGTTATTCTTACGCCATGTCAGCATATAGATGGTCATGACTCAAACAAGTCCCTTTCGGTAATCCGGTTGTACCACTGCTGAACATAATGCAAGCGGTTATTCTCGTGTTATCAATATGAACCGGTACAAAAGATTTAATATCATCATCATTATATAATTCAAAAATTCCTGGCAAATCTATTAAAGATTTATGTTTGTACAAAGCGATTATTCTTGTGTTATTTTCTCCGAGTGCTTTCGTAATTAAATCTGTAGAGTTCTCACAAACAAAAATCATTTTTGGTTTGACCATATCCAATAGATATTTTGTATCTTCTACAGAAATTAGTGGATCAGTCGAAGCAGTAACCAAACCAGTGAATAAGGAAGCAATAAACACAGCGGAATTATTCATTGTGTTTTGGGAACACATTGAGATGATGTCGCCTGGTTGAAGGCCTTGATCCCTCATGAACAGAGCAAGTTTTACACATTTTGAGAAGAAAACTTGATATGTTTCTTGCATCCCAGTTTCTCCTTCGATCTAATAATAATATATGGAAATGATTGAGATAGTTTTAAATAGTGATTTTAATAACCTGTGCAATTGAGTCACTTTCTGCATGTTTCTTTATATGATCAAACATGTATCTTCCCAGTCCTCCAATGGGGCTTGATCGATTTTCTCCCCCTGAAGAGAGTTCTTTTTTTGCATTGTCAAAAACAAATTTGGCTGAAATGAAATTATGTAAGTTTTGGATAATAATTATGCTTAGTATCAAACAAACCTTCCATTTTAGAGACGAGTATGACTATGACTATGCGTAAATTATGTCTGCTAGCCTTTTTATTATGTTTGTCTTGATAAATAATCTCCATGCTAGATTAAATCATAAATCAGGTTATAAAATAATTTGTTTCTAGGTGGAAAAGTAACTTGAGTTATTTATTTTTCCATTGCATGTACATATAACATAAATAATCTCATAACAACAAACAAGCAAACTTAAGAAATAAATTTACTTTTTAAAGATCTTCGGTTAATTTTCCCTGTAGGCGTAAACTCAATTTCGTGCCTGTCAATGATTTTGACACCAGCACGGATTTGATTTAAATTATCCATTCGCTGATTAACAAAAGCTTCCAACTCTGCGGCGCTAGCATGTGCTTTCTCATGCAGACAAACGATGGCCATCGCGTGATTTTCATCCTCGTTATATGTAGGTTTGCCAATGACGATAGCGTAAAGTACATCCGGATGAGAACTAAGCACATTCTCAATCTTCGCTGGCACGATATGCCAACTGCGATACTTGAACATTTCTTTAATACGATCCACAATGAAAAGATTGTAATCATTATCTAAGTATCCCAAATCGCCAGTTTTTAGAAATCCTTGTGCGTCCCATGCGTCCTTGGAGTCCATCTTGAAATAACCTGCCATTTGGTGTGCTTGCTTCACACGAATCTCGCCGGTTTGAGTCAAAGGGAGATTTTCTTCGGTATTTGGATCAACAATCTATATAATTACGAATTGAATGCATTACGGTTTTAATTGTTTAAATTGTAGAATATGTTTTACCTTTATAGTTAGATTGTTTGGAACTGGTTTACCATTTGAACCAAATTTATCTCCGGCCTGATAACTTGCCACAAGACCACTCTCTGTCAAAGCGTACACATATCCTACGTAAATACTTGGAAACTTTTCATAATAAGTGGTTAAGTATTTTTCAGGGACTAATCCACCTCCAACAACAACCTGCTTCAAACTAGGTAGTTCAGATAGATCTGGGAGATATTTAGCTGCTTCCATGAAGATCGTATTGGATAAAAACGTGTAGGCTACATTATATTTTGAACAAATGGACCAGTGAGTCTCCTTTTTAAATTGTCTGACTAATAATCGTGCACAACCCATTTGAATTGACATTTGCAAGTTAAATACGCATGAAACCCAATAGAAGGTGGCATAATTCAATATTACCCAGTTGAGTATGACTGTTGGATATCTATAAATAATGATAAATAAATCAAAATGAACATTTATGAAGATATTAGATATTAATATCTACATTGATAGTGATGAGAATATATAGTTGTGAGTCAAACAAATCCCTTTTGGAAGTCCTGTAGTTCCACTGCTAAAGAGAATTGAGCAAACTGTATTCAAATCATCAACGAGAAACGGTTCAAAATCTTCTTCAATTGTTGTTTTTTCCAATATCTCTTCGATAGTATCATATTCATTGTGAGAATTTAAAGAAACTGATATAATCTTTGCTTTTAATTCAATTGCATCAACGCAAGCTTCAATTAGCTCTTCAGAACCATCAGAAACAAAAAGCAATTTTGGTTTGACCATGTTTAATAAATGTTTTGAATCTTCCAGTGATAGCATTGGATCAGTTGAGGACATGACTGCACCAACAAATAATGCAGCAACAATTACAACTTCACTGTTTATGTGATTGTATGAACACATTGCAATGTTGTCTCCTGGTTTTATTCCAACTGAACGCATGTATTGCGCTAGTTTTTTTGATGCATCCAGAAGTTCTTTGAAAGTTTGTGTTGTGCCTGTTGCAGCATCAATCTATAATTTGCTATTATAATTAGTAAATAGTTAAAAATTAACAATAGTTAATAATTAGGTAACCTGTGCAATACTGGTTTCATCTTCTGTGGAAATTTGAATGAGACGATCATGGTAATATTTGCCGAGACCTCCTGGGTACGGCTGGTACTCGGTTTCCCTCTTGACGAAAAGTTCGTGAGTTTGCTCATTATATTGGAATTTATCTAAATAACAAAATATTTTAGATTTAATATGAAATTTTGCGTTGAATATATATATTGACCCATTTTGATAATGCCAGAGGTAAAAACAGGAATAAACTAACAGATTGGGGTACAATACGTTTATATATGATAGTGAATCATCTTTATAGAGTGTTTATTTCCTTTGCTGCCTCAATTTCTCGGAAGTTAATACAGATAATCACCGGAAAGTGTGTTTCGCAAGTTTCAAATTTCAAGTAGTCAAATAATAACAACATTAATAGATAAATAATAACATTTAAAGCGTATAGTTGTAATAACATCAAACTTTGATTCATATCATTTCATTCATAATTCATTCTGGGGCCTCCTTGAGGTTTCCCTTGCTTGTGTATCAATCTGTTCAATTTCTCTCCTTCTTCATTGCTGTTTACAGGTACCTACCCGCAGTTCGCACTCTTGCGCGACCCATTCTGCCATTTAAACGCATCTGCCTCTTCCCCTACCACGTTTTCAGGGAAGGCCGCAGGTATAAGGTGACCGGAGCAAGCATTGTGATCAGTTGAGTTTGTGCCTTCTAAGAATACTGTCGCGAGTGTATATATTCTTCTCTCGCAATGTTGGTTTTATTCGCACACCACTCTTCTGCCGCACCTATTGCCCCAAGAAGAGGTTCTTTGATGGTTTATTGTCCCGCTATTATCAGGTACTGTGATAAGACTAATATAATTACTGGTTTCACTGTGAATGATTAAATACACATACTACGAATATTTTTATTTTATCACATCTTGAATAACAATTGTGACCTCATAACAATAACAAAGCAAATTTACTCTTTAAAGATCTTCGGTTAATTTTCCCAGTAGGCGTAAGCTCAATCTCGTTTCTATCAACGATTTTGACACCAGCACGAATTTGATTTAAATTATCCATTCGTTGATTAACAAAGGTCTCCAATTCCGCAGCGCTAGTACGTACATTCTCATGTAAACAAACGATCGCCATCGCATGATTTTCATCCTCGTCATATGTAGGTTTGCCAATGACGATTACATAAAGTACATCCGGATGAGAACTAAGCACATTTTCAATCTTCGCAGGCACGATATGCCAACTGCGATACTTGAACATCTCTTTTATACGATCCACGAAATAAAGATTGTAATTCTTATCTAAATATCCCAAATCGCCAGTTTTTAGAAATCCTTGGGAATCCCACGCGTCCTTGGAGTCCATCTTGTAATAACCTGCCATTTGATGTGCTTGCTTCACTCGAATCTCACCCGTTTGAGTCAAGGGGAGATTTTCTTCAGTATCTGGATCTACAATCTATATAATATTGATTGAGAAAAATCATTCATTGAACTGAGCATAAATATGGTTTACCCTGATAGTTTGATTGAGGGCAGCAGGTTTACCATTTGAACCAATTCTATCTCCAGCTTCATACTTTGATACAAGACCACCTTCTGTCAAACCATACAAATATCCTACGTGTACATTGGGCAACTTTTTATAATAGGTGGTGAAAACATTTTCTGGGACTGATCCACCTGCCACAACAACACATTTGAGTTTGGGTAGTTCAGTGTTGTCAGGGAGAAAATTCCCTGCTTCCATGAAGATTGTATTGGATAGAGTCATGTAGACCACATTATATTTTGCACAAATTGACCAATGAGCATCTTTTTTAAATTGCTTTACTAATAATCTTGCGGATCCCATTTGAATTGACATTGCCAGGTTGAACACGGAAGAGATCCAATAGAACGTTCCATAATTTAATATCACCCAGTTTAATATTGCTGCAGGAAATCTATAAAGTATATATTTCAATACTATTAGAATGTTTTAAAGTAATAATAGTATTTACATTGATAGAGGAGCCAAAATAGTATTATGGGTCACACAAATTCCTTTTGGTAGTCCTGTTGTTCCACTGCTAAACAGAATTGAACAAACTGTACTCAAATCATCAACAAGAAACGGTTTAAAATTGTTCTCAATTGTTGTGTTGCTCAAAATCTGTTCAATAGTGTCATATTCATTATGAGAACTCAAGGAAACTGAAATGATCTTTGTTTTAATTGAATTGCATCAACACAAGTTTCAATTAGCTCTTCAGAACCATCAGAAATAAAGAGCAGTTTTGGTTTGACCATATTCAGTAAATATTTAGAATCTTCCAGTGATATCATTGGATCAGTTGAGGACACGACTGCACCAACAAATAATGCAGCAATAATTACAACCTTCACTGTTTATGTGATGGTATGAACACATTGTGATGTTGTCCCCTGGTTCTATTCCAACTGAACGCATGTATTGCGCTAGTTTCTTTGATGCATCCAGAAGTTGCTTGAATGTTTGTGTTGTGCCTGTTGATGCATCAATCTAAAATTTACTATTATAATTAATAAATCGTTAAAAATTAATAGTTGTTAGTAATCAGGTAACCTGAGCAACAATGGTTTCATCTTGGGTGGCGATTTGAATGAGTCGATCATAGTATTTGCCGAGACCTCCTGGGTTTGGCTTGTATTCGGTTTCTCTCTTGACGAAGAGTTCGTGAGATTGCTCATTATATTGGAATTTATCTAAATAACAAAATAATTTAGATTTAATAAGAAATTTTGCGTTGATTAAAAATATTGACCCATTTTGATAATGCCAGACGGGAAAACAGGAATAAACCAACAAATTGGGGCACAATACGTTTATATAATAAAGTGAATCATCTTTATAGAGTGTGCACTTCCTCTGTCTCCTCGATTTCTCGGATATTAATATTAATACTGATATTAATACTGATTATCACCAGCAATAGTGTTTCTAAGTATTTAATTTTGTAAATCATATCCGTTCATTCACAATCTATTTGGGGGCTCCTTGAGGTTTCTCTTGCTTCTGTAACAACTTGTTCAACTTCTCTTCTTCACTGGTATTTACAGGTACGTACCCGCAGTTCGCACTCTTGCAGACGACCTGTCATGCAACTATTTCCAAAATATTTCAAATTACCTCTTGCCCCACCACATTTTCAAGGAAGGCCACATGGCCTGTGCAACCACTGTGATTAGTTGTGTTTGTGTCTTCTAGGAGTGCTGTTCCAGGTGTTTATGTTCTTCATCCCTCTTCTGCTGCACCCATTGCCCCAAGAGGAAGTCCCATGATAGTTTATCTTCCCGCTACTATCAGGTAATCTGACACAGTCTAATTTAATTATGTACTACGAATATTTTTATTTTATCACAACTTTCATAACATTTGTGACCTCATAACAATAACCAATCAAATTTAAGAAACAAATTTACTCTTTAAAGATCTTCGGTTAATTTTCCCTGTAGGCGTAAACTCAATCTCGTTTCTGTCAATGATTTTGACACCAGCACGAATTTGATTTAAATTATCCATTCGCTGATTAACAAAAGCCTCTAACTCTGCAGCGCTAGTCTGTGCTTTCTCATGCAGACAAACGATCGCCATCGCATGATTTTCATCCTCGTTATATGTAGGTTTGCCAATGACGATAGCGTAAAGTACATCCGGATGTGAACTAAGCACATTCTCAATCTTAGCTGGCACGACATGCCAACTGCGATACTTGAACATCTCTTTAATGCGGTCCACGACATAAAGATTGTATTCCTTATCTAAATATCCCAAATCGCCAGTTTTTAGAAATCCTTGCGCGTCCCACGCGTCCTTGGAGTCCATCTTGTAATAACCTGCCATTTGGTATGCTTGCTTCACACGTATCTCGCCGGTTTGAGTCAAGGGAAGATTTTCTTCAGTGTTTGGATCTACAATCTGTATAATTTTGATTTAAAAACATGTTAGCTCAGTTTGAGTAGATATGGCTTACCCGTATAGTTTGATTGACTGCAACAGGTCTACCGTTTGAACCAATTTTATCTCCAACTTCATACTTTGCTACAAGACCTGCTTCTGTCAAAGCATACAAATATCCTACTTGTACATTGGGCAACTTCTCATAATAGGTGGTTAAGACCTTTTCTGGGACTATTCCACCTCCAATAACAACAAATTTGAGACTGGGTAGTTCAGAATTGTCAGGGAGATAATTTCCTGCTTCCATGAATATTGTATTGGACAGAATCATGTATACCACATTATATTTAGCACAAATAGCCCAGTGATTTTCCTTTTTAAATTGTTTTATTAATAATCTTGCGGAACCCATTTGTATTGACATTGCCAGGTTGAACACGCAAGAAATCCAATAGAACGTTGCATAGTTCAATATTACCCAGTTTAATATTACTGCGGGAAATCTATGAAGCATATAAATTAATAAATTAAAATTTTCCAAGAAAGTCTTGGTATTTACATTGATAGAGGAGCCAAAATAGTATTGTGACTTAAACAAATTCCCTTTGGAAGTCCTGTAGTGCCACTGCTAAAAAGAATTGAACATATTGTGCTTAAATCTTCGACGAGAAATGGTTCAAAATCTTTCTCCATTGTCGTTCTTTTCAAGATCTGTTCAATAGTGTCATATTCATTATGAGAACTTAAAGAAACTGATATGATCTCTGTTTTAATTGAATTGCATTAACACAAGTTTCAATTAGCTCCTCAGATCCATCCGAAACAAAGAGCAGTTTTGGTTTGACCATGTTCAGTAAATATTTAGAATCTTCCACTGACAACATTGGATCAGTTGAGGACATGACAGCACCAACAAATAATGCAGCAACCATTACAACTTCACTGTTTATGTGATTGTATGAGCACATTGTGATGTTGTCTCCTGGTTTTATTCCAACTGAACGCATGTATTGCGCTAGTTTTTTTGATGCATCCAGAAGTTGCTTGAATGTTTGTGTTGTGCCTGTTGCAGCATCAATCTATAATTTACTATTAAAATTAGTAAATAGTTTAAAATTAATAATTGTTAGTAATTCAGTAACCTGTGCAACAATGGTTTCATCTTGTGTGGCAATTTGGACGAGTCGATCATAGTAAAATTTGCCGACACCACCGGGGTACGGCTTGAACTCGGTTGCTTTCTTGACAAAGAGCTCGTAAGTATTCTCATTGTATTGGAATTGATCTAGAAAAGAATATAATTTATATTTAATTAGACCAAAATATAATAAATAAATTGTACTAAATAATAACCCATAATTATGATGCTCGGTGTCTAAACTGAAATGAACTGAGTATTTGCTGGATTATTTTGTTTATACTGTGATACAAACTGCAAAATCATCTTAACAAAGTGTTTGTTTACTAATTCCAGCATGAATTGCAGCTTTATGATAAAGATTATCAACGGAGTGTAGTACTTTGTGTTATGCAAGTTTCAAGTATTATTAGTATTATTTCAATATTATTCATTTTAAGATATAAATAAGTATGGACAAAATTTAAATTTAAACTTAAAATTAATATTTATAAATCGCTTACACTTACCTTCCATTTTAATATAAGTAGTGCAAACCGTGAACAAGCTGTTTTAATTTATAAAGAATAATAGCACAAAGAGTGATTGAGACAAGAAGAAATACCAGTTTGACCAGTGTTGTTCCACGTCCACTTGCGATAATAGCATTTATTAAGCGCAATGTAGGTTGATTGGCTTCAAGTGGATAAACAAGCAATTTTAGTGGGAGATTTATAATTTTTCCAAGCAGCAAATTTTGTTGTCGTTCTCGTCGGTTAGGACTTCTGACATAGAAGAGGTTTTCTGTAGGAAAGTAGCTGCTTCTTTGAAGTTCGGAGGAATACTAAATTTATTGAATATATACTAAACCTAATCACGGTCGTTTTTGGGCTAAAAGGTCAAAAGCAGTTAGTATCGCCTTGAACGTCTGCTGATGGTAAATATTACTACGCCCATTGGTAATAGTTTTATCTTATCACAACAATAATAACCAAAAGGTGGTCGTAACAATTTTATAGGAGCGCGTTTTGTGCGTATTGTGCGTATTGTATATAGCAAAGCGTTTTATCATTGATACATTTATTCACCCACGATGCTTTTAAAACAGCAATTTTGTTTAAATTCGCACTTTTGTTAATATAGTTACTATCTTTACTACAACTAATCTCAAAGTACAGCTTTGTCAAAGTCCTTTTCCCCCCTCTGTCCGTTCAAGCAGTGCGTGAACACCACATACACATAACTCCAGCTTTGCCTCCACTACTTTAAGCGGGTAGGTCGCAGTATAAAATAATGGTGCGCAGTCATCACAGTGTTCTGTCGTGTCTGGAATTTATATACTTGTTAGACTTAATAATACCCACACTTATTTATAAAACTACTACATTTGCTGTTCATTTAAAAATAAATTTTATCAATACTTACAAGTAAATTCGCGTCGTTCTAGTAAATTCTATACTTATCATGCGTCAATAAAAATCACAATCGATAAAAGGATTTGTAATAATAAAAAAAATATTTTCATTAATTTATTATCACAAGTAGACAAGTATGTATTCAGTTCCAACAAATAAATTAAGATGAATCAATGAGCACCACTCCAATTGATGCTATTTAGCATCATGCAATTGTTACAATTTGAGACATTTCATGGACTCAATCCTGGTTTAGATGTCGATTGTCACGATAACCCAGTAAAACAAAACGAGCATCAAATCATCCGATGCATTCATTATACGCCTCCACTTGTAACATCTCCGCCAAGCTACGCAAAGTCGCTTTGTTTTCATCCTCAGCAGCGACTTTCAAGGCACTGCAAGGCATAAGCACATGATGATCCTCCGCGAATTTCAAAAGGATTTTCAACGCCACAATCTGATCATTTGTTGAGTTGGGCTTGTCATATAATTCCCTAAAAATATAATAATATAGGTACTTAGATTAAAATTAATCTATTTTATTCAATTATCTACCAATAAGTGCAAAATTGGTCGTCCTTCATGCTCTTCAAGAGTCTGATACCATCCGAGTCCTTCATAGACCGTTCCAGTGTCGTCGATTAAAAAATTATACTTAATATCCGTCATCGATTGACGCTGAAGGTTTTTTATCAGTCCGGCGCAAACCGGTAATCTATCACAATGCGCTGCGCGCGTGTCGGTGAGTATGACGCTGTCCGCCGGCACGCTTATCGTAAACAGCGGCCCGCCGCTCGATGATGCGTTCCATTCCTCACGCCCGACGAACTTGTAGATTTCCGGTGTGAAAACGACACCTAAAAGCAAAACAGGCGCATTAATCTATCAATTTCATCGTCATAATCCTCAAATATACTGGTATCAGACAATCGAATGATTGGTGATGGCATCACAAAGATGATTTATTTTATCAGTGACAATGTGGGTTAGAAAATGATGAAAATAAATTAAAATTATACCTTTGGGGCTGGGTATAGTAACTATAGTAAGCAGACCGTGCATTCGCTTCCCATTTTGCTAGGAAATGCCGTGTCTGATGTCTATAAAAGAAAATATCACGATTTTTTCTCTCTGCGCAGTCGTTTTATAAACGTAGACACACAAAACGAAGTAAATAGTAGTGAATGAAATGAAATTATCGCTTTATCGTGTTTTATTCTATATGGCTTGATATGAATTAAAGTGTAAATGATGGTGGCGCGTGACTCACCCTCGTTGAAGAGCAGATATGTGGCAATGCCGATGCCAGTGAAGAAGAATATAAACAAGGCAGTCACAAGCAACCAACTGAATTGATTGTGCTCTGAGCGCCGATGAATGCTGCCGTATTGGGGGCGGCGGATGTTGTTGTTGCCGCCGCTGCTGCTTCCTGCACTGCTGTTGCTGCTTATCAGCGGGGTGCGCTCGTCAATGTTCACTGATACTGAGCTGGCGGCATTGATGCACACAATGCACGTGTGAACTTCTAGAAATTGTTCAAAATAGATTTAATTCTTATTTAATATTTAATTAGATTTAATGATGCGCTAAAGGTCAAAACAAGATTGCTTAATCAAATTTACATAATGATAAAGTCGGAGTTTTTTTTTGTTTTGTCAGAATTTAAGACAAAAATATTTATCGGTTTTAAGTGATAATAAAAATAGAATTGCTAGTAATACAATAGTATATTTTAATTTATTGCAAAATATATGGTTATTGGTCATAGGTTTTGTTGTTTTTGTTTTTTTTTTGTGTAAATTTTGCAATTACATTAAGGAAACTTATGACGCATGTAATAACCTTTGTTTTTATTTGGGATTAATTTAATTTTAAACATTTTTTATGTTTAAATTCCATAAAAACACATTAAATGCGGGTTTTCAGTTTGACATGTAATTAAACAACAACTAGAGCAAGGTTTGTTCTAATTATATAGCAGATTACTAGCGAATTAAACAAATTATAATTGTTTTTGATAAAATTTTAATGATTTAAGTTTAAAACTTTAAAACTCACCTGGTTTTCTTTCTGGTTTTCCCTTCATTATCACAGTTAAGTTGTTATAAACTATTTGACTAAATACTCCGGTGTCCTGCCGCGCGTTGTTCGTTGCAATTTAGGACAAACGCGTAAATTGTTATCAACTACATTATGCCAGCGCGTGTATGGATTGTGTTCCAACAACGACTTTAAACCGCCCATCCACGTTGTTTTCGCCAGCACGATTACGCCTTCAGTACGCTGCAAATTCGATTGTGTTGGAAGTGCTGTATCGCCGGCGCGATGAACTCGATTGTTAAAAGTACGCTCAATTATTGCTGATCGCGACTGGTTGAACGCGCCGGTAGCGAGTATTTCGGTAACTGCTTGCGTTGCCATACGAGTATCAAGTCAGTGCGTTGCGGATGTGTGTTGACAACTGTCGAAAGCGATCGTATTCGGCTGGGATTTATAATGTTTTTAATATTTACTATTGATATTGATACGCGCCGAGCGTACTGCGCGTCACGGGTACACACAATGGCGAGAGAGTACAACTGGCGGCGCGACAACCTCGACGAATATCACGAGTTTAACTGATAAAAATTCATCGGCTTTGATTTCCTATCTGAAAATGTTTTAATTGTGTTGGGATTTACTTTATAGTGGTATGTGAAGAATTACGGTTCAAAGATATTATAATTAAATGCAACAAATTGAATAGTAAGTTTTAGTTTAGGAATAAAATTAATTATTTATGAATTTATTTATTATTTCAATGTAATAAATAAATACGATTAAATACTATATAGTAGGAGTGAAAATTATTATTGCATTGCTTTGAATTTTCCAATTATTCATTAATAATCGTGAAAATATTGTTTTCTTTCAAATATTAACAAAAATCATAAATTTCAATTGATAGAATTCCATTATCTGTTGAGTATTATTATTTCTAGTTGAATTGAAAACTATTATTCACTTATTTATCTGGATGTAGTTTGAAATATTTATAGAATTGCAGTTGGTATCTATCATTTACTTTTAACTTAGTTAAATTTTTAACTAAAACGTTTTATCTGTATTTCTTGATTTAAATTTTTTTTTTTTTGAAAAATGTCGATATCAATTTATGATTTGATGATGTTGATCAGGAATTCTCAAAATTTCTTATACCGCCTCTGCAGTTTAGTAAAACTTGAACTAGGAAGCAGGGTTCTTCAAAAATTTACAAAAGCTGATCAACTTTGAAAGATAATTAATAAAAAGTTGGAAATTCCTGTTGTGACTTGTCATCTCAAAATGTAGATTACCTACAGATTTAAATTTTTCCTATGTTAGAAGTGCAAGTCCTTGACTTAACTTGTAAAAATACTTAATTTTTTTGGCTGATTTCAAGTGCTGTCACGTAACACACATGCACGAAATTTTTCAATAAATAAAAATATTACGGATTTAACAAAACTCGGCCATGACAAAACTTTTCATTGATAAGCGCGATAACTTGTACTTTGTCGTACATTGTTAACCTCGAAATCTATTTGTATTTTCTTATATCTACCGGAAGCGAGTGTTTGTAAAGCACATGAATAATGAATATAACCACAATACTGACCATGATTAGACAAACGGAAAGTTATTAAACTAAAGATAGTTAATATATTTCACCACATAACATCATGTGTCAGTCATGCATATAATATAATCACACAAAGTCAAAATTCTTTTATCCATAAATCAATAAAATTAAGCAATAGATCATATCAGTCAACAACTAATCAATCTGTAAACATTAGTAATGAACAACTGCAAAAAATCCTTACTCATAGTTTATATTTAAATCTTAATCATTTGATAAACAAATTTCATTGTTAGTAATAATTTTATTATTTAATAAATAAGTATCTTATTATAAGGAGACTGGTAATATGGAGGATTCCTTTTTTATCTTCCATTTTTCCAAATTCTCATCGACCATATCCAAGAGTGGTTTGGTTTCTGGCACCAGTTTATACAGCAGAGTATAGCAGGGCGTACAAATGTTATGTAGGAACTCCACCTGGGAAGCCGGCTGCTCCTCATGTCTCCTACGGTCCATCATCGGGATCGGCGTGCGTCCCGCTGCCAATTCCGCATCGCCCTGATCGTAAAACTCTTTAAAGATAATGTCCACCGTTTTTACTTGTACGTCCCACGGTTTTGCGCTCGCAGATAAATCACTAGCTGTCATCGCTATAGCCTGCAATAGCGACATATGCTCAGCATTCTCACGACAAAACGTATCAGAGTCCACCAAAGCCTGCAACGATTTCCTCGTATCCCAAAACGTGGCCAAATCAGTCGCAAGGATACAATGCTTAATCAAAGCGAGAATTTGTTTGAATTGATCACTAGATAGTTTGTGGAATATATTATGACCATCCTACAACAATACAAAACCATTGACCTAGTGCCACATTGAGGTTATGATAGTTTACCTGTTGTAAAATGGTGACTGTCTGATTAAAGTGATGATGTTCCATTGTTGAGGTTGAATAAATGCTCGCAAGCGGCGATTGTGTGTCCAACATGTACTTATTGTTCTTGCCGCGATGGTCCAGGTCGTGACACAACGCAGCTATAAACAGCGCGAGGCTCTACAAAAAGATAACCATCAAATCTCAACTGAACGCAAACGCTACTCATCACAATTCACCTCAACCTCCTTAAAGACATGTTTAGATTTCTTGATGATAGAATACATCGAATTGGCCACGGAGAATCCATGTGTCCAATTGTGATAAGGCACTCGCCTATAATTCTTCTTCACAGTCAGCGTAAATTTCAGCATGCTATGTCTATCGAACTTTTCCATGTCGAAGAGATCGTAAAACATGAACATTGCGTGCTTGACCTGCTCCATCTCCTTTAATTCAAACGGATTAAAATAATAATCATCTATACCTGGTATAGCCAGAGGGATTTCTTCTTCTAAAGCTTGTTGGAATTCTTCTTCAGTGCAAGACCGATGATAACTCAGAACTTCAACAGCTACTTTGTATTTTTGTTCGGATTTTTTAATTTGGTTGTATAATTCGGCATGATGCAGAGCTAAACCGCAATATACTGCGAAGGTTTTAAACGCTTCTTCATCGTGAGTTGTGAAGACTCCGTGATGTTTATTGACCATTTGTACAACGCCAATGATGGACTTTTTGCTTCTGTATACTGGCATACAGAGTATACTGTTAGTTTTATAACCTGTTTTCTTATCTACTTCAGGGTTAAATCGTGCATCAGAGTATGCGTCTGTTATGTTTAGTATTTCACCGGTTTTGGCTACGTGACCAGCGATACCTTTCCCCAAAGGGAAACGAATTTCTTCGTTTTGATCCATCAATGAACTATCGCCAACGTCAAAGATCTGTGAGTACAGCGAGTTGTTCTTTTCGTCTAATAAAAAGAGTGACGCTCGATCAGCGTCGACAAGCTTCTGTGCAAAGTCCATTATCTTGGTTACTAATGGATCCATGCTTACCATATCTTGGAATATCGACCTGGGGAATATTATCCTTGTATTATACCTGCGTATGCGTTGGCGTTGAGTTAGTTACCTGACGACATCGAGCAGAAATGCATTAAGGCTCCTCTGCTGGTTCATGTTGTTGTAGAGTTGTGCATAATGGAGTGCTATCCCACCCCAAATCAAATAGCTGAGGGCAATCTCTTCCTCCTCTGAAGTGAATTCATTACGATCCGGGCATCGGTACAGTTCCAGCACCGCGCACATCTCCTGATTCGATTGCATCACCGGCAGGCACATGAAGTGATAATTGTCATCCGCGTCACACTGCTCACAATTTTCCGCTTGATCCGTTTTATCATCGGATTGGTTTCCATTTATCTAATGAAAAAACAAAGAAGTCATTCTTTGCGGGCGATTGAATACCTAGTATATCAAAAGTTTAACTTACAACTTGTCTATTGGGATACCGCTTGTCTGGATGCTTTCGCGCCGTTCTAATTGGCTCCTGTGCTTCACGACGAAGTTCCGCAGGCTGGTGTTGCGCAACTCTCTTGAGTCTTCCGCTGATCCCAATCTGAATGATCCAGACCCGCATCTGCCGTGAGTGTGTGCGGCGTTATCGCCGTCGGTGTAGAGACGTAACTTTTCCGGATGTTCGGGGTTGTCAATTAGAAACAGCCTAAACGAAACAAAAGCGAAATGAAACGAAACAGAAGGCGAAGGTAATTCACCAGGAAGTTGTTCCGGCATAACCAACATTACGAGCTGTCATCTGAGCAAAACTTTTGCGACACAATTTAACTCAGTACTAATTTTATTAAAATCATCCGAGTTTTGTAGTTAGGTTTAGATTGTTAGTAGTTTGAAAGGTGCCTCTTAAAAGTAGAGATGTGCGGTATCTTAATTAAATTTGAATAATGCATAATAACAAGTATATTCATAATACATCAAGATGTATTTTAACTTTTGCCCAAGTCGCGCAAGACGTATTCACGGCTGCACTTCAAACAGAACTTTGCGTGCACCTAATTGTTTGAAATTGTCTATTTGCGGTTGGCATGACAACCTAATATAGTTTCCTCATTCCTCGACCGCCGTATCGATTTTTGTACAGTGGTGGTGCGGCGGGTGTCATCCGGTTCATCAGCGCTTCATCAAATATGCTTTTCATCACGTTGTCAAACTAAGTCATTACTATGCCTGGCAGTAATGAGAAAGTTTACACACTCGTTCGTCGCGGCGCACGTCCATGTTGATGAAATTACATCTACACTGGGCGTTTGTTACTTTCAACAATTCCAACTCACCTTAATCCGTCGGAATCTGTTGCCGCGGTTATACAATTTGCTAACTCCCATAGGACTTGTTCGCGGCGTAAATTTTTCTTCAGGCTCTGAACTAATTCTTCGAGCATTTTGCGCCGATCTTGAAAACAACGCCATTTGCTAAGACTAGTCTTTCGCCCGTCTTCGCTGCGTTGTGTTTTTCGCATTGGTGTTCGACGTGTTGCCCAACTATCCAACACTTCCGGTTCTACTTCGGTCAACACGTACTTCTCGACTAATTCAGGGTGCAGTTTTAAGTATTGGACTACATCATGTTCTGTTAGGTTTAGAAAATTGGAAAAAAACGATCAATTTTAAATTTTAATTATGTTTGCGATGGATTTTATTACCGTTCATGCTGTGATGAGATGACGCCATATTTGCTAGCACCGGTGTAATTTGTTCCTTTCCTGCGTAACGACTCGACGTGGATTGTGTAAACATTTTACGCTAGGAAATTATATTATCAGTCCGTCTAGAAAATAAATAGAGAGATATATCTCTCATTAAAACGAAATTCAAGAAACTATTTTTTCACTTTCCGAGCACATGCGCACGTGACTCTTGAAAGGCAAATGAAACAAATCAACACAACAGACACAAAAACAACGTACACTCGCACACTTTCAACACAACGTTAATTTATTCATGCTGAGATGATGTATGCGGGTATACTGGTCAAAACCACCGCATTTCAAAACTTTGCATTCTGTTATTATTAACTCGATTAAAGTGCTCCAATGCCCTCAAAATTCCAGCGCCGCATAAATGGCAAAAATGTTATGCCGTCTGCTCATTTATCATATTCGTGAGGCACTGTAGGGACAAACACGTATGGCGAGATTATCGCGGTGAAAGTAGTTGTGTTTTATTACACGAGCACTTGCCGAACATGCATGTGAGTTTAAAACTTAAAACTATGCCGAGTATTGACTGCGCAAGACAAATTTACAGACTCAAATACAGGATCATTCAGAGAAAAAAACAACACATTTTGTGGACGTAATTATTTCAACCGCAAACGCGCTGCGCAAACAGCGAAAATTACTGCGCGGTGTAGCGGCGTAGATCAAAAACTTTTGGCATGCACATATTTATGCACGTGTGTTGTACACAGAGTAAGTACCTAGTTGAGAGTGTGCACACATACTCGAGACTACTAGCTAAACGCAACATCAAACATCGTCGCAACTTATCTCTCTCCCGACATGCGCCAATGAAATCAACCAAATCTCACGCAACCTTCGCCAAATGAATTTACACGATAAATGTTTTTTATTTTCTTTAAAAAAAATCGACGCATACTCACACTTATTACTCGCACCGGTGCGCACAATCTTTGTTTAAAATTTGTTTGAAGTTCACGCATGTTGCTAGCACTAGTACGGTAAAGGTGAAGATAAATAAACGCGAACTTTTTTTAAATCGAAAGTTTTTTTTATGTTTGATGTGAATTGAAGGTCTTCTTGTCGATAACACGTTGATTTATCTTGACGCGCCGAAGACGCACAGTGCGCGGATTTGCGTGTGCGCCGTCGGCTGCCGCGTGTCGACGACTAGGCGACCGGAACGCCGATGGAAATTGATAACCGCGCGATACCGATACGTCGCGATACGTGCGATATGTGTGCTCATGTGTGTATGTGTGCTGATGCGAACACTGTCGACAATTGCGATATTCTCCTTCGACGGCCGCACAATGCACTGATTGCGTTTTTTTCTACTCCACTGCTTGTTCTAAACACTACATCAACGTCATCTAAATATACCGTGTATATTTTGTTTGTAGGCAACCAACATTACATAACGTATAAACACGTGTAATGTGTTGATGTGTATTTGGTTGCATACATTGTGAAATTACAACTTTTTTTAATAAAACTATTTCTGTGAAGGAAAACTCACGGTATACTAATATTAATTGTTGGCAACTTTGAAACAAATCTAAATTAATCACTGTTCGCTGTTATTGAAATGCTTATTTTTACATCTGTACCTGCTATCATTAGCCAACTAGTAACTACTAACGTCAGGATGATGCATGAGATACTCGAGATAAACGATTTGCTTTTATAAAACATGTAGCAATTTATATCGAGTGCTTTTGATTAGATTTTAAGTAACCTGTTGTATTAAATTTCCCAAAACGCTTGAATAAATTTCATGCCGCTGGTATAAATCATCTAATATACCGCCGGCCTTATCATAAATTTATCTTGTGATAATGAATGAATTCATCAGCACTAGTAGCCGTGGTACAACTTGATAAAACATGTTAATAATTAATATTTGTATTAAATCAATTATTTATCTATCTAGGCATCATATGATATGAGATAATAATCAATCATCAATGATAATTTAATCGAATAAAACCTATAGTTACAAAGTTTACTTTATTCAAAAAATATTAAGTTATTTATTGTAATTTAAGTAATTAAGTAATTTATGATGTCAGTTATGTGGATTTTATAAATTTATTAATGGATATCGTTTATTCAGACAAGTGATTATTGAAAATTACAAACTCATGTTTGATTTGAATCGATAAAATTACCACGTACCTTTGTGTAGTTTTAAGTTTAACTTGTGTTTACACAATTTACAATTGTTGAAAGTGGTAATCTTTATGTTTCGTGTTGCGTGTATGTTTGGTTATATGTATTTTTAACATTTATTTATTATATTTACATATTTATTTTCTGTTTTCATTAGTGTAACATTAGACTGCATGAAATCGAATTTCTGCAAAATGAACAAAGTATTTCCGCTTCCAGCAATCCTTAGATTGAAGGCAGGTATGTGAGAAAAATGCTATCAATGGCATACGAGTATTTTCGTGTCTTCGTCAATTGCAGGAATTTCGCACAAAGCCTTTCTGAAACGAATGAAATCCTGGATATACCATATCGAATTCTCTTCGTCTCTTTAGACTGTTCGACACCTATCTTACTAGAAGAGAGGATCTCGTTCATTTGGCAGTTAGGTATTGCCAATCCCACGATAACGAACATGATATGTAATTTATCTCGTATTAATTGTAACTGTACACATACGTGACGAATTAAGTCACGAATTAAGTTTGAAAAATTGAGTAATTTACGTATTAGTTTTATGTTGTATTTAATTGTCTATAAATGTGCTTAAAAGGCTTGAAAATAGTTAAAATTCGATGCAATCGCACTAAAACATCGGTGAATTTCTTGGGAGTTTGCTTCTGGCGCAGTTCGTTTCGTTCGCAGCTCTCCAACTCGTGCGGAATTAATTAAACACTGTAAAAAGTTTGGAACTTTCATTTGCCATCGGTTTAAGTTTGGGATTAAATCGACTTTAATTAAGGACACACAAATTTGTTCATAAAAACATTAACGACTCCAAAAAATACACAAAAACACGATTCGCTAATTAATACATGAATAAATTCGCTACAATTGCAGTTAATGATTGACAAATAATCAAAATGGTGGAATAGAATATATTTTTATTACAATTCAAATAAAATTCACAAAAATATTACGTTTGCCTATTTTTTTATTATAAAAAGAAAGTGTTTTCCAATATTTGTGATCTGTGCAAATAAAAGTACCTAACGCTGGGAATTTCTTCATCTCGCTTTTGTGCGTACTATAAATAGATTGTCGGCGTCAGAAAGCGGCAAACAAAAATATCGCCCATCGCCGCGAAAACGAAAATGTTTTTCCGTGTGTGTCATCCCGACGAATGAAACTTGCGCCTGCAAGCGTTCGGACTGCAACTTCCTGCGCTTTCCATGTGGCGCGTGACACGCGTGGCGCCACGCTGTGCCGTTCCTGCGGTCGATAGAATGCGCGCGCTGCTCAGGCGCGGCCCTCTCGTCTCCTGTTTCTCCCTAAAGTCCCATTGCTTCCCTCAAATGGTGGTGGCTCGGGTTGGGCTGCGACCTCTGTATACATCAAATGAATTTTACCATTCTACAAACAACACTAACGCAGGTGTGGCAAGTAACTAACAAACAATACCCTGCGGGTAAAACTAGTTGAAAAATCGCGAAAAATAAATGAATAAAACATTTCTGGAGGTTTTTGATTGAAATAGGGGTGTTTCAATTGGATAATTGCTAAAGTTCCAACGGAACTATGCAAATGAATGTTTTTTAGTTCTGTATGCAGCCACGTGTGGCGTTGTTTTTTGTTTTTAATTTTAGTATATCGCTAGTTTTACAGCTACCTAGTACCTAGAAAAGTGTACATCCGCCAGCGCCACACCGTCCCCACGACGCGACGTAACCGCACGAGGCGCACGCGGCGAAAATCGCGGCAGTCGGTCGCTGTCTCGCATCCGCCATCGTTCGCACCCCACCGAACGGTTGTTCTTACATAAGCCGGCGCACGCACGCAGTCCGCTCGCGTTCGTCGCGCCGCAAGTCTCGCTACTCATCGTCAGTCGCTGTCAGTGTGGGCGCGAGCGCGCATCGGTGTCTCGCACACTCGTCGCATGTGTGTCTTCTCTTCTGTCTGTCCATCCGCGCCGTCGCGTGCGATCAGCTGCTGGTCGGCACACTACCGGGCGCAAGCAACGGTAGCGCAGTCGGTAACGACGCGGAAATAATCGTCAAACGAACGCACGCTTTGGCGTAATCGCATTTGCTTGTGCCTAGGTCTAATTGATTAGATATTTATTCTTTTCCGCTCTCGGTTTTTGTTTGGCACACACATACGCGCTGTGGGTTTATTTATTGTTATTTGCATCGCGGCGGATACAAAGCCATGCGACCCATGCGCGAATCTGTGTCACTCGGCTGTGCGGCACCGGCGACGACGACAATCGCGCACGTTTTCGACGATTCGGCCGCGCGAATGTGACCGGTGACCGGTGTACGACACTCGCGGACACTTCAATTTCGTCGAGGAGTTATTTGTCACCGCTGAGCGTATATGGCCGTGGTCAATTTGGTGGTGACGCCGCTGCGAAGGCGTAACTGCCTTCTGGTACTCGCCTTCGTCGTCTTCATTCCGTTCTGCTTTTTCGTGCTATTTTCAGTACCAGGTAAACACCACTCTATGGCTATTTATATTTTATTGTTTGGGCAACAAATTAGTGAGCAACATGGTGGTGGTTAACACGTGGCTTTCAGAAAACTCTTCTTTGTGTTATAAATTTTTGTAAAACAAATATTTGAGTCTTTATGTTGATGGAAATACCGTGCATGACTTTGTGGCTTAGTTTAAACGCAAATGTAAACAATTATTCAACCGTTTCAATTAGCATCGTAAAGAAAATTACTTTACACGCTATTGCGAAACTTCACACTTGTCAAAGAACAAAAACGATGCATTTTACGCGGATTTGTAAAATAAATAGCGAGAATTACGCAGTAAACAACTGGTTTATGCAAAAACTAGTGCGCAAATAGCAAACTTCACCTTAATACAAAAGGAGGACACGTCACATCCTTCGTAAGAGCATTTGTTGCATATTCATTAAGAGTGCAATTAAATCCGCGAGGCGCACGTCCCACTTGACGCGCTGACCCGAGACTCTGTCGGAATAGAACCTCAATAAAGGCTCACATATGTATTAGATGTCTAGGATTTATGCAAACATCCTATTTGTATGCACTCTTCAAGTCCTCAACGCTAAACGAGCACTATGAAATCACAACCACCCTAGAACTAGCATTTTTATTGCGTTCTACTTTGGCATTTATTCTCCGCAATGTTTGAATTGCCATGGAATGTGGAATGTGTTCCAATCCAACAAATTCTTTACGTCCTACAATAAAAAAAAAACGAAACAAAAAAGGCAAATAAAATCCAATGAAATGTAACAACTAACTACTAGGTTCAATATGGACATAATTCATATTCATAGTCGGTAAACACGTCAACGAATCAGTACTATAATTGAAAAATAAACGTGAGATGTAAATTTTTTTCTATATTTGTGAATAAATACAAGTCAAATTAAACATGTTATTTACATTGCGTGTGTTTTTTGTTGTTTGTTGCTATTTGCACGAAAGAAATAACTAACGAATAAAAATAGTTACTCGCACGCTTTGAAAGTCTGCGCGGTTTACTTTTGTTTTTATTTCAACTTTTTACGCTGTTTACGTGTCCACTGGTCGTAATCTAAACGGTGGTATTTTTATAACACACGGTGCGCGAATGCTCAAAGTCAAAAACGCATGTAAACGCACTGTTTAGTAGTGCTAGTCGGTGAGTGAAATTTAATTTCACTTCGACGTTGTGTTTTTCTTTTCTTTTCCTGTGCGATGCGCGCAGTACTTTCTGTTTTTGTAATTTGTAATTTTTATAATGCACATCACAAGAATAATAAAGGTAGGAACATAAAAATGCCGGAAATCTTCTTTAATATTGGAAAACACGAAAGAGTAATTGCATTACAATTATTTTCAAATTTAATCATTATTTCTAACGGTGCAGAAGAAATTGCGTAATTTTTCACAAACAATTTTCACTTTTTAAAAATAATAAGTCTTATGATTGGTTCATCTTCATCCTAATATTATATATGGCATTGTCTTCGAGTGAATGATGCGTTTTCCGGTTTCTCGTTTATTTTCATCCCAGTTTTATTTGTGAAATATATTAATATCAACTGTAGCTGATGTTCTGTTTCCGTTGCGCTCGCGAAACTTCAACAATACGCGCGTTATCAACGTTATCAATATTCTAAACATGAATGCGAGAATCGATTTTGTTGCTTGCGTACTAAATTTAACGCTAAGCACCGTTAAAGGTGTGTATTGTTATATCTTTCAATTGTTTCAATTCGTTTTGTTCTATTCTGTTAACTTTGAGTTGCGTTGACATTGTCCGCATTTACACAATATACAAATACGAAATTTTATCATAATATTTTTCACTGCTCAACATGCCACCAACTTATTAGGAATATTTAATTAAGAAGACCGAGTAGAAAGTTTACTTTCTGTCTCGAGTCTCTGTGCGTCTTTATAAAGAGTTTCAAGTTTCACTAAGTGTTTTTTTTTTTGCTTCGTTTCGCCTATCTATTTCATAGTTGTTAATTTATTCAGTTACTCTGTAATTAATCCAGTTCACTCGTTCGAACTGCATTTGCTTTCAACAATACCAGCGAGTAAATAACAGCCGGTGATGTAACAACTTGCACAGCGACACATTTTATTGCGCAAAATGCGCGCATGTACTCTTTTTATGTCAGTTATTTCCTCGGCGCTCACCGGTGACTGCTTCTATTGTAGTCACCTTCGAAAGTTGCACTTAAACACTGGATAACCGGTTCAATTATCGTTTGTTTGCATATTATTTCCAACAACCTTGTATGCGCTTAGATAAGTTTTGCATACACACTTCAATCTTTTTTATTTTTATTATTTTAAAATGAAAATTTGCTATTGATTTTAAAGTGAAGTGGATTTTCACGTGACTGTACAGTGTAAATCTCTTGCGTAAGAGTTTTATGTGGAAATTAATGATTGATTGCCCACGGGCTTAAAAACTCTTGAATGATTAACGTCAGCGGAGCGTACAAATGAACATGAACATTTATTGACGTTTTTTTTCAAATTCACAAAACATAACTCTATTCATTTTGTTTTTGCTGCTTGTTGTTCCAAGTCAAACTTAAAATGGCAGCCGTCCAAAACAAGACCTCTAGAGTTTAGAGCCCGGCGTGAGTAAACATGTAGGTACGTCCCAATGCGAGCGAACGATAAATTTTCATTTAGAACATTTTCGCCGGCAAAACTCCAGTGAATATTCGTTAAAGGTCAGCGCTGCTTACAGCGAACTTGCATCGAGCACTTTCCACATTTCTCCTCGTTGGTAATTAGCTTATAAATTATTTAAAAATTGCGCACATAGACATTAATAAAATCATTAACTATTCATTGCGTAAAGGTCATCAACACGCTAGATTATCAACGCAGGTAATAAGCATATTATTATTACTATTAAACAAATTATAATTGGCCGCTTATCCGGCCGAATGTCCAACAATCGTGTTTCATTAGGTCCCGAATTAGTTGTTAATTACTCCTGTTATGCGAATTTAATTGCGCTTGTTTACGTAAGCAACTTTATGTTCACTTGAGTGTTATGAATGTTTTCGTTTGAATCCACGCCGTAATTATTATGTTATCCAAAAACATTAATTTCACTAAATCCTTTTGAACGCGGGTAAATAAATTACTTCTGTTTTATTTGACATAATACTGTCATAATTAATAATGAAGCTCACATTGCAGTTTTGCAACGGTGCAATTAAACGCTACTAATTCAATGTGTGTCTGCTCGCGTGTGCATTATGGCTGAATCCCAGCGAGTGAATTGAATCAATTCCAGCATCTATTAAATTGTTCCAATTGACAGCGTCTAATGCGATTCGTTAAACTAATTAGTATCTTGCAGTGAACACTCTCTAGGGCACATCATGCATAACAACCGCGATCAGGCACCTTGGAATATGTGAATAGTGAATGTCCCAGCGATTTCATCATCTGTAATATTTATATTTCTGAATGTAACAGTATTATTGTATGTTGGCTTGCCTATATATTTCTATCCAAGGTAAAAGTCACATTGTTTAGGTTATGTTTAATTTCGGTACATCTGTTGTTTTTCCTGCTAATGCCGCGAATGAAAGAAGAAATTATGCATGGCGAAATTATCAAGTAAGTGCCGTTATTCTCGAGATATATTACTACACGGTACAAGCACGCATATAGAGGTACTGCTTATTCCATATGTGTACTTCTGGAAGTAATGTTACGTGTCGATACGTAGACATTCACTGAATTAACTTATCTCTGAAACAATGCCTCTTAAAATCACCTGGCTGTCGTGCCGATAAAAGCACAACTTAATTGCTTCTGAAAAACATTCAACAGCATGCAGGGCATGCATAAAGAATGCCTTAAACGAAGACACTAACAAATGGATATTTCTTTCATCATTCCAATCATTCCACGCAATCTCATTCAAGTTTTTCATGCCGTAAGTAAATAATAAATGAAGGCAATTTGGTCGTTTTGCCAATTGATGTTGAACTGTAAATGAAATTACGGGCTCTTTCCATTGCGGGAAAGAAGCACGTCGGTTGGGTTTTTTTTTTCTTCATCCATGTGCACAATCTACACAAAGTGTGCTAAGTGTGCAAAGTGTTTCTTTGGCTGTCCTGAAGGTAACTCCGCGTCTATGAATACTAACTAATACACTTTGCGGTGCAATAAAAGATGAACAACATGCAATATTCAATGTTCTAATTCAGGAAACACGCTGGCGAAACTTGTTATTAGCCATCATTTAAGCTTCATACATTGCATCGCGTAAACATCACGGATATATCACGAATGTAACATCGTGACTTTAGCTTATTTCGCTTGGAATAAGAAATAACATTGGGAAAAATGATTGGTCAAAGGTAAATTTCCGCTTTTGCATGTCGACCCGATTGTTCTGCATGACAAACTTTCAAAATCCTTTACAGTTATATGTTTAAAATGTTTAAAAGAAGTGATAAAAACGTATTTCCTAGTTTATGCGGTGGGAAAACGTATTCTATCATATTTCTAGTTTATAGATATCGAATGACTGCAGTTTTGCATCGTGAGAGTGAGTTTTATGCATATAAACTAAACCATCCGATAATTTCCACATAAATTGCATACGTTCGTGTTGTTCGAGTGTCGGTGTCGGTATTAATGATAGTGGGCTCAGAGAAGATTATTACCTCGATTAATTCTGGCTGGCAAAATAATTTGCTGTGCTGAAATTTACCGTTGAAGGGTTTTTGATGTGTGTTTGATGTGTTTTATGATGTTAGCTGGTCGAGTACGAATCTTGACCTTAGATCGTGACACACTACACATAAGTCAAACAGCAGCAGGAAGGAGGAGAATTAACCATGAGTACACACTCGACGCCGGTACGTCTCGTCTCTTCGCGGATGCGCCGTTAACCTGCCATGGCAGTCCGACCTTTTACTCGTTCTTTTTTCACCTTCATTTTGATGTGCAACATATGCAGGCATGTTGCATGTGGCAGGTCTTTGATGTGCGTGCATTCCGCGTTGAATGTTGTTTTCAGTGTATTGTCATTGAACAGTAACCAGCAAGTTGCATTGCCTTCACCTTCGGCTTGTAGGTTTACATAGCGCACAAGCGCATAAGTCAAACAGTCAGAGGTTAGGCAGTTCACTCGGCGTACGCCCAGTCATTCTTCGAGGTGGGTCTGCGGATGGATAACTGCATGAAGTTACAGTCTTTTATGTCGATGCCGATGTATCACACATTAGCAATTTATCAATACATCAATCATTATTCAGCGTAGAGTGGGTTTGTAACTGACGTGGTAACTTTTTTGTTGTTTTAAGTTTTTATAACGAAACAATTTTAACTTTACGGTTTTTTTTTTTAATCATCCGGAAGGACTTTCTTTATTGTTAGTAAAACCTTGCACGTAAAACATCATAAAAATATTTTTTATTGCTTCATTTAGCGTTTACTTTTTAAATCCGTTTATATTTTTTTTGCTCGTGCTTGCGTAGAAGCTAGCTTTATTAGATTAAATTACCAGTGTGATAAACAGAAAACTACGCTCCTAATACGATTACGAGCTTTATACCTTACCTCGGATAACACGTAGTTTGCTAATGGCCTACACGTGCCGAGCACCGAGCTCTTTGTTCATTACGTTTGATTTACGCACATAACGATATCAAATAATCCACTTTTATCTAAACAAACAACTCTACTCCTTCCAATTATAAAATTTCCATGCGAATTTAGCATTTCTCAAGGCATAAACTTAATTAAAGCTTGAAGTGGCAAAACTATTGGCTTGTATTTGGATTAACTCTGCGATTTGCCGCCGCCCTGCCTTGATGTCGATCCCCACAGGCTGTCAAGTTTAGTGATTGCGTAAAAGGGTAGCGCATACCAACACGAGAGGTCATTTATTAATATTCTGTGAACGAATTCACATATCAAATGAGAGCCGGGTGGAAAATGCAATTTACATACGAAATTATAAATTCAATTTCATTTTTCCTGTGCCGCCACAGAAGCACAACTGAATAATTTATTTCATTTTTAATTTTAATTAGTTTCGAGGAGTGTATTGATGAAATATCAAGGATTATAAATAATATTTACTTCGTCGAACATGCACGATACATTTTATGTTGTGATGTTATACCTATGCTATTTTTAACCTTTCTCAAGGTTAAAATAATATTGAAGTCGAATAAATAAATTAGTGCATAAAATAGTTGGAGTTTTTGGGCGGAAATGAAGTGAATGTATCGTGTAATAATGAAGCGAATAATACGGATGTCATTCATTGACACAGTTGGAGTTAATTGGGAATATTAGTATTATACAAAACGTTCAGTTGAAAATTTGAACCAAATATTTACATTATACTAAAATTATTCATTTGTTATCGCAAAAATTTATTTTCAGGTATTGTTTGTATGTTTTTGAACACCTGAAACATTTCATTATTGTTTGGTGTTTATTGCTATGTTTATACTCGTATTTTGTTACACGTATCACCAAATTAGATAGTTTGGTGTAAATAATTGAAATTCTCAACTATCATTTGTCCTTTAATCACATTACAAAAGCAAAATGCACAGCATGCTCATTAATTACGTCGACTGAATGGTAACACAATGAATTTGAGACAATAAATTGACGCCGCTGGCACATCGTCTCCGAGTATTTGCAGTTTTTGAACGCAGCGAAAAGATTAAATTTCCGACATCAGACGACATGAGTTAAAGCGAAGACGTGATTCAGCAACAGTAAAATATTCGCAGTCAGCAAGAAACATTTTCTAATGTTTAACATAGCAAATGTGGAAATTGCAAAGTTCCTGCTATGTGTATGAATGGTATGTGTATTTTCCAGTTTTGCGGCTGTCATTACAGACGAAATTACGAAGTTTAATTGAGCAGATCCTAAAACGTATCATCATTATGCTAATACTTCATGTACTTCACGTTGTGTTGTCGCTTTGTACTTCTTGTGCTCTAATATATTTATGCGGTAACTTTTTTGTGACATTAGAGGTTATGTTGTTGTAACGCTGCTTTGAACTCAGCATGTGACGCAAAATTTCCTGATGCGTGTTATGGAATACAAACAGTTTTGTATGTCGTTAAAGTTTCGTAAACGTATAAAGTATTCAAGTCAGTCGAATGGAAACTTGCAATCATTCTCATGCCTATTAAATAACCACCGCGCAGCATTTTGCTCTCGTAAGGTTTCTTCCATACATATCTATCAATATAAATTACCTGTGTATTTTTGTCATTTTAAAGCAATTCCGGCTTAAAAATGTCCTCACACATATTTGTTAGAGTAATTTGAAACTTTTTAAGTACCGCCATATTGCTTTAATGTGTGAAACTTCTCAAAGTACTAAAAATCTTTTTATTAATTCCCAAACTTCGGTTGCAACGTAAAGAGAGAAGAAAATTAAGTTGGTCAAACTCCTAGCCTAACTTCAACTTCAATTATAGCGGCCATTTTGAAGCCGCTTATGTTACAACTACAATCAAATTACCGATCGTAATCCGATTCCGTGCCGTTAATTTTCCATCAACGCTTTTTGTCAACGCGCGCGCGAGGAAATCTTAAACGAATTGCGCACGTCGTAAATGTGTTTAAAACAAATTGATGATAAATTAGGTGTCCTGTCCAGATACGTGTATAACTAGTCCTATCAGGAGCGCGTTCCGTTCGCAAGATAGATTGCCATCCGGATGGTAAAGCGTATGTCTTCCGCTCGGCTTCCGGTGATAGTTCTAGAACAAATAAGCGAATAACTCCAAACTGATCTGTCGATCCGTGCCAAATTCCCTCGATCATTCGGGAGCTTTCTTCGAGACAATAGACATTACTTTGTCAAGGAATATATTGGGCCCGAGGGTGCTAACTGTAAACTGTCCCTGTGCAGTTCAGCGGTTTCGAATCTTATTGATTCTTCGTTTATTCTTGAATTAAGGTTGTTTCCTGAGAAAATTCAACGTGAACTAATTTTTACGTTAAGATACTTTTTGATTCATTTTAAATTGATAGTAAACAATTAATTAAAAGTGTTATAAATTAATTTGGACATTAATTGAACCATCGTCGGCAATTAAATTTTCAAAACATTTCGAATTGATGATACTCATACATTTCCCCACCGTGGAAAGTAATTTTCTAAATGACATCTGTTCCAAATCGATTTTACTCGAGAATGAATACAAATTAGAAATTAGGCTAAAATTCATGAATTTTTATTGTTTCCAGATGTAAGTTCAGAACAAATGTTGATCCAACGCCTGGCGGAGCTGCAGGTGAAGCTGCAATACTTGGACACCATGTATAGATCACGACAAGAGGACCTCCAGCAGCTGACCGCCCACATCGACCAGATGGTCGCGCCGAGCGATAGCAATGCGTCGCTGGGCGCACTCTCGCCGTTTGGCGGCGCCGCGCCAGCCACCACCAAGCCGGAGATTAGACAATTGTTGCGAAACATGTCCGGCATGAACGCCGCGCACGGTCTAAATCCACCGATAATGCTGCGTCTGCCGTCGTCCTTCCATTTCCTGCCGCACTTACTGGACGATCCGGCCAGCTTACGCCTGGCTTACCTAATGTCCAAAGGTCGCACCGGCGTTTCGGTGGTCCTTGGTGTACCTACCGTACGCCGCGAGAAGCACACCTATCTCATGGAGACGCTTCAGAGTCTCGTCGACGGCATGAGCATGGACGAGCGAGAGGACGCGCTGATTGTTATATTCGTCGCAGAGGTACGAGCTTTTGTAATTAACTTACGCTTCTTGCGCCACTTGAAACCCGATTTGGCCTGATTGCGGATATATCCGCGCGCGCTGTGTTATTTCATTTTAATCCAGCCATGCGGAAACAATTTCGGAATATCGTGGCTCCTGGGGAGTATCATTTTGGACAATTCGGGCTGCGCTGTAGGGCACTTGTGTTAAATCGTGTGTTTGATTCGATCGATCGGCGTATAAATCGGCCGCGACAGATAGATTACGAATTTGTTGCTATCGAACGGTTTGCGACTCCATAAATTTAGTTGCAAACTAAATTTTGCGCAATTTGTCTACTTCACAACCTCAAATTAATCTATTAATCTATACTTGACTAATAGTGTACGTTGTGGTGGCGTTGCGGCCTGAACTTGACAACAACTTGATTCTTTCGGAGTTATTAATTACTTAAAAACTAATCATGCTAAAATACTTTCCTACGAAACTTTCTTGATCGTGTTTTTGTGTAGGAATTTGTTTTTGGGCATGAGATCTGCAAAAAAAGTTGTTTTTTTCGAAGATTGATAGCCATTAATTTATTTCTTAAGAACTACTAATAGTAAAGACGTTTTTTTTTCCATTTTTACTAATTTATTTAATTAAATTAATATTTTCTTACGTAAAGTTATACATAATTAATATTTTATAATTATTTATCTCTATCTTTTGATTCGCAATTATTTCAATTAAAAACATTGAAAACTCGTGTATGGAATTTAATAATCATTAGATTACAACTGGAGTCATTAATATAGCTTTATTACTCTTCGGGTAATTAATTAATAACAATAATCCTCGAGATTTTCTTTTGCTCATTCAATTTTTAAACAGAAAATGAATTTTCTTTATTGTTTTGGACCAGTTGTGTACAAATAAAATGGAATGATTGTCGTTATCGTACGTGCGGCGAGAGCTGCGAAATGGGAAACACACGATAGCAATTTTTCTCGCGCACGGCAGCGACAAGCATGCGCCGCGCCGGAAAATCGTAAATTCTTTTCAGCACGCACCTCCCGCTTCAGCCCCGCGCACGCTGGGAATGCGAAATGCCCGTATATATCGGCGAGAGGATAAAAAAATAGCATTGATACGCACACAGATGTAATATTTTAGCGTGGCGAAGGAGCCGGGCTACACGTGTATAGATAGCCGGTATAGACAACGTGCGCCGCGCAAACACCGACAAGGTTCAGTGTACGGCACGCTTACATCATCATAATGTTATAGCGAAACACGCCCGAAATGAGATAGCATTTTATCGCGCAGCTACACACTTTGCGCAAATTTCTCTGCGTTCGCAAGGACGCGATTGGTTCGTCGCCAATGTCTATGATGCGTACGCGATATGTATGATTACACTTTTAGGGCTAAGGGTTGCTGAGGCGGAGGAGAGATGGCTGTGCATAGTGTAGTGGATGTAGTGCCGTGTTTTTACTCGGAAAACAGGTACTCTACAGTTAACCACTTGCATATTTAACGAGCGTTTGAATTTACAGCGGGCATTTTACATTACATTTGGGACTTGTTTTCGATGTTCATGGGTGTATCGGTGCATAATATATACTTTATTTCTTTAAACTGAGGATTAAATGAGAATTTTACAGCTTAACCAGGGAATAAACAGCAAACTCAGTAAAAAATATAAAGTGTGCATGCGCAACGTGAGATATTAAGTGTATTAACTTAAGTAGGTTGTAGGGAACGGTTTGAGGGCAAAGTCATTTAAATTTTCGACTCACGCAGTGGCGGGCTTTTCCCCTTCCTTTTCAATCGGGTAGGCCGAATGTATAAAAGAGCAGCACGCAGCGCCCACAGTGCTCAGTCGGTCTAGTCGCAGGTTCTCTCTCTACTCCTCTTATTTTTAATCTAAGGTTTGGTTTGAGTCCAGTCTCTTTGTCGACAAAACATCGTCACCCTATTTTTCTACTCTTTTGTGCAATTTGTGGTGTCGAATAGTGGTCGAGCCGAGAGCAAGAGAGGCTTCGCCATTCAAGTTGACAATTGGTTTAAAATAATTACTTATTCAGCTGACCCTGCTTCTTTTAAATTTTAACGAGACTACCGGATGGCTATTTATTTTTTATTTATAAATAAATTGTATGATAAATACGAAAATCGACCATATTTTGACAAATAATCCACTTGAAAACATTAGTCTCTATTTAAAAAACAAGACCTATTATTTTATTCATATTCTGATATTGTTTGGCCATCATAAATCAAATAAATGTCCTCTTTAATAAATGAAAAATCGGTTTTTGTCATCTGTGACAATATCAAATATGAAATCATTGAATTGAATGTATTTTTAAAATTCATAAAAAGTGCTTTTGTTTTCGGTCCTTTTTTTATTGATTACGAAGTTAACCACGTAATATAATATGACTGCACAGGCTTTGTTTTAGAAATACGTATTCATAAAGCGTAAGCTTGTCGCTTTTAGAATTTATGTATTCGCAAGTACGTATCAAGATTGTTCAGCCCAGGTACATTAAATACTGAGCCTCAAAGGACGTAAATAAGCCGTAACGTGCAAAAATCCCCTTCGAGGCATTCTTTTTTCTCTCTATCTTTGTTTATCTTTATTTTAGCTCGCCCCTTCCTTAAAAAGGTAGAGATTATTCAAGAGGAAACATGTTGTCACTGCCGCTCTTATTATAAGACTAAGGATTTATCATGCTTAATTATTGTTTGCCTTCATTTTTCTCTCCAGCGATGTGAAAAACTGTATTTTAATAAAGTCAGTTTAAGCAACCAACCGTGCAGATCCTGTTCCCGGTAGGATCTTTTCATTATCTTTTGACTTTCAACGCCTTCCGGTTTTTGGTTTTCTTCGTGGAACAAGTCTAATAGGCGTTGGTTTAGTGCGCAATCTGTATCAAATTTTGCATGCTGCGAAACACACGCTCTAACAAGATATATATAGCGCACAGTGTAATAAAAAGGAGGTAGTTTCGTCTCGTGGTATTATTAAAGATTAATGGTTCTGGCCGGGAAGAAAAACACCTGGAAACTCAAATCATCCATCATTTGTGTGTGCCCGACCGGAAGGAGAGCAAGTGTTCGTTATCGATATCCGGCTTAATTTACTTCCTCTTTCACGATAATACATCATTAAGTTATCTACGAGATACAGATGAAGAATAAAATATTGAATTCTATATTAAACAAGATGGCAATTAATAAAAGATGTCTTAAATTAATTCTTATTAAGAAAAGTGCGAGTAAATTTCGTTTTAGTAATAAAATCAAATCATTATCCAACAATTTCATCATTTTTTTTGTCATTTTTATTTGATTTAAAAAGTTTTTTGACTCAACTATCAAACCATGAAGTATATGATCTTGTCGATTATGTCAAATGACATAACCATATCTTGAAAATTTAATTTCTTCTTTAATATTTTGTAATGTTATTAATGTTGGAGTACAATTTGAAAAAATATATTGCTGTAGGGGTTAGTTTGGTGTAATTCAGTTAGTGCTGAATTATGCATGCGCACGACTGGTTGATTAATTGAACAACATTGTTATAAACAACAATGGTGACCTGTCAACTTGAGCGCAATTTCTCGGTCATTTAAATTTAATAAATTACAAGGTCGTCTCTCCGCTAAGCCAAATTGATATCAACAACTCGACACTCGAAGTACACGAAGTGTGTCAACCAAAATTCCTATTTGACTAATGTACACTGTTGTTCGCTGTTTCTAACTTCATAACTTACAATCTGATGGTTTATATCGCTGATTTATAACTTTGATAACTTTGCACCGTTGACGCGTATTCGGCGTCGATGTGTATAATTTTCCATTCGGTGATTACATGCCTCATAATTAACTTATTGGGTTTAACCGTCATATTGTATAAATAACATTCCCCTAATTAATTAACGGCCCATTGGGGAAATTACCCGCCCGCCTCGGTGGAATTATTCGATTATTCATTTAAGTGTAATCCTTCACCATCAAGTGTTGGCGTCAACAAGTTGAAATTAATTTATTTTTATTTTTTCTGTTTTATTTTCAGACTGATCTAGAATATGTATTGCTAGTTGCGAAAGAAATTGAATTGAGGTAAGCTTGATATAGGACGGGAAGGGAAGAATGAATTTGTTGATATTTTAATATTTCTCTCATAAATTCAGATTTCCGAGTCAAGTTGACAGCGGGTTAATCGAAGTGGTGTCACCATCCGTATCTTACTACCCGGATATGGACAAATTGCGCTCGACGCTCGGCGATCCGTTGGAGCGCGTGCGCTGGCGGTCGAAGCAAAATTTGGACTTTGCTTTCTTAATGTCCTACTGCCAGCCGAAGGGCACGTTCTACGTGCAGCTGGAGGACGACATTCTCGCCAAGCCTTACTATATTAGTGAAATGAAGAAATTCGCGCTTGACAAAACGGCCAACAAGGAGCCATGGTTCGTCCTAGATTTCTGCCAGCTGGGTTTTATCGGTACGCGTCCAATAAATTTAAAAACATTTCTTTTTCTATTTTGCTTTATTCTATTTTCATCCTGTTTACAGGCAAAATGTTTAAGAGCGCCGAGCTGCCGTGGCTCATTCAATTCTTTCAGATGTTTTACAACGACAAACCAGTTGATTGGCTGCTCGACGATCTCATCTACACGAAAATTTGCAACTGGGAGAAAAACAAGGTAGAGCGCTAGCTATATAGCTATGGCAGTCACAAAAGCCGGACAGTTAAACATGACATTTCTGTGTTTTCAGGACTTTTACAAAAGGGACAAAGCAAAACTGTGGATCCATTACAAACCGTCACTATTCCAACACATCGGCACGCACTCGTCGCTCAAAGGCAAAGTGCAAAAGCTCAAGGTATAAGAAAAAAACAAAAGAATTTTCATCTCCTATCATAGGTCCATTCTCATGTCGTGAAGGCAACATTTTTTCCTTTTATTCGTTTACACAAACGCGTAAATAATTCAAATCGCTAAAGAATTCTAGGCGTGCTTGAATTTAGTAGACCAGTCCTCGGCAAACATATAAAATTGAAGTTGGATAAGAATCTTACATATTTCATTCCTAGCGATCCTAGAGCACTACCTGCACACCAACGAATCAAAGATTTATGCGTGCCTATCCCCTAGGGAACGCGCTTCTGTTATATTTTGTGATAAAATCCAGTACGCGCGTTGTAAACTTTTGTGTTATTTCCACACACACACACACACATAGATACAGATGTATACGTGGGTTGGATGTGTAGTAATTAATGTGCAGTAATTATTTTCCCTGCGCGTGGACTTTGGCCGTAAATTAATAACGCTCCATAATCGTAAAAGGCCTTTTTTAATCAAGTTGTTTATAAATATTCATTGTATACCGTGCAAACCGTGGCAAACGGCGTGGCGTAGTTTTGGGTTCGAGCCCTATGCCGGCCCGAACGACTGTGCTTTATTATGCGAAGATCCTGGCTTTAATATTTCCCTGTCCGTGGCCAGTGTAGCGATTGCTCGCGCTCTCATCCTCCGCCACCGAAGTTGGAAAATATGTGCGCATTTTTGCCGCGCGCGCTCTAGGGAGTCATATTTCCCACGAACCCTAAAAGTTACTTATTCATTCCTGCACGTCGGTGCTTGCTTTTCTTCTTTTCCGGTCTGGTTCGTCTGGCTGCAGGACAAGCAGTTCGGCAAAGTAGCGCTTTTCTTTCCGCACACTAATCCTGAGGCGGACATCATCTCCGGCATCAAATGCTACAAGCTGTACAGTCTGAAACGGGCGTACCTCGGCGAGGCGTTCTTCTGGGGCCTGCTGCCACAGCCCGGAGATCAATTAATCTTCAAGTTCAAGACACCAATTCATATCAAAAGGTACAGGTGCATTTGCTACAATCACAATCCGACTGTCGGCGAGGCGAAAAACTTGTCAACTTTGTGATTTGTTAGGTTTTTCTTCCGAAGCGGCAACGTCGAACATCCTTCCGACAAGTTTTACAATACCAGCGTCGAAGTTATGCCGGCGGAGAGCAATCTCTATGTGAACTCGTTGAATCTCACGGCGGATGGATACATTGTCGTCGGTGAGTGGGCAGTGAGAGCTTTTCAAATGCAAAGTTTTTCATTTCATGTGTTTTTTTTATACCTGTAGGTAAATTTGATAGTGTTGGCATTGCGACCGGCAATCCTAATGAAAACATTGGTCGAGTGTCAGCTTTACGTTTGTATGTTCACAGCGAGAGCGACAATTGGGCCATATTGAGCGAGGTTTGTTTTGTGCTTGCTGTAAATTCGGGGTTAATACATGTTGATTTCATCGGCAGATACATATTCAGGACGAGTACTCCGTAGCTAGGTGACCACTGAGCGACGGTCGAGTCTCTATGCTCTTCCCACACATCTTGAATCGCTACAATATACTCGACCGCACCCCTCAGCATCCTCTGTGATATTATTAAGTAATGGATTTTTGTGCACGCACCCTTCCTACACAACGTGTGTTTTTGTATTTTGAATTACTTGTTGATTTATTATTTTGTTACGTTTTTAATTTATCGCATATATATTTATATTTAACAACCGACCACTCGAATTAAGTAAAAAAGTCAAATAATTTATTGGATAATTCAGTGCTAACGGTATATCATACATAAAGAATTATTAATAACAATGGCGGGCGTATGGGTGATGGTTGGATCACGCTGTACGATGTGCGATAATACCCGGAATGGTCGGGGTGCGGCCGTCACGCCGTCAACGGTGTCGGTGGTCGGCGGTTTGCAGCCCGCCGGCACTTTGAAATCAAAGTTCTGCAGCAGCGCGCCGATGAAGATAAAGAGGTTGCCGCGGGCGAGCGTCTCACCGAGACAGCGTCGTTTTCCCATGCCGAAGGGGATGAACATGTCAAGCGCCTTCACCTTACCGTCGACGATAAACCGTTCCGGCCGGAAGGCGTACGGATCCTTCCACATACACTCGGCGCCCTCGAAGATGCCATGGAAGGTCGGGATTACCATTGTGTCCTAAACAAGTGCGTTAAATGTATTAAACGGCATGAATAGTCGACGCGTTTGATACAAAAAAAAAGAACGTTGTGTACCTTTGGGATGAAGTGACCGCATAGATGTGTGTCTTTGAGCGCTCGATGCGGCACGCCGAAGGTTCTCCTCATAAAGTGGCGCAATGTTTCCATAACAATGGCTTCGAGATACGGCATGCTATATAATATACAAAACGCGTTATTTTACTGTGTATGCATCACCAGCATATTAATATTGATACATATTAAAATGGCTATACATATTGCAAAACTGTTAGCTGGAAATAAAATTTATATTTACTTAGGGCGATCATTTAGCGACGGCACCCGGTCCCTCCCCACCACCATATCGATCTCCGTCTGCGCCTTCCGCTGCACGTCAGGATTCAACAGTAAGTACAGCATACAGAAGCTCATAGATTTCGTGGTCGTTTCCGAGCCGGCCATGAATAGGTCCAGACAGATGGCGAGCAGCTGATCGTCGGTGAAACTGGCGGGCTTCTCCGGCGCCGCCAACATCTCCAAATACACATCGATCAAATCTCGTGGACTTCCGGGCACGTGCGTCTTTTTGTGCTTTTCGATTTCCTGCGTAATGAACTTCCAAATTGGCACGTGCGTTTTCATATAGAGATTATATCCGGAATACTCGGGCGCGAAGTAGATGAGGAACGGGAAATAACTAAATATAGTGCCGATCATATCTATGTTCTTGAATAACTCCGTCAAGATATTCTGCAAATATTTCAAATTGGAATCCTCCGGATTGTACTTGGTGCCTGCCAACATCGTCCAGATTGTGTTCAGTATGTGAATACCGAACATTGTATCCATCGGCGCTGATATTTCTTTCTGGTTGCCGATGAGATGCTTTATGTGATTGACCATAACGTCGGCTTCCGCTTCGATCATCTCGCTCATATTGCGTTTGCCAAAACCGAACTCGCGTAAATGCCGCAATATGAAGCGGCGTTGTTCTACCCAGAACTGTTCGTCGGTGAGCAATATGCCATTCCGGCCGAATGTGCGCAGTTCATAAAACGGTCCCATCGGCCGTCCGTTCAGACTCTCCGTATTGAGAAATTCTTTGATTGCGAGCCCACCGTAACAGATAACGATCCGCTCTTGGCCGAACTTAAAGCCCAACACCGGGCCGTATTTCCGACTGAATATCGCCATGGCTTCCGCCAGTGAACCAGTCTTTTTTCGTAAACGCGATACGGACAACGCACTGCCGAGTATTGGAAGCCATTTTGGACCAGGCGGGTAGTTCCTCGGCTTCACGCAGTACAAATAATTGAAGAGTATTAAAAACGCGCTGAATAGAAGCGTAGCGGCCCACATAATACTTCTTTTGATGAGTTTCTTAACGTAGAGAATACTTGGACGTTTTCCAAATCAAAGTCTGAAGAGAGTGAAGATAAACTACAAAAGGGAAAGTGGAAATAACTTTAAACGACGACTTGTCCGAACGTGAAGATCCGCAAATGCAACGAGATGCAATTATTCGCATGCACGGGAATATTTCCGGTTGGAGACTAGCGCGATGCAAGAGAAAGTATTAACGTAATAAGTTATGCAATGTAAGTGCATTTACTCTAAGTGAACTATTCATGTACGTCTTGTTACAATGTATGCACCTAATCGATTGCGCGTTCAACCGAAACACGCGCATGTTTAATCGAAACAAAATCGTGTAAAAAGGTGAAAAAGAAGCAAAAAGTATTTAGTTTAAAAAGCACACCGCGGAAATTACTCCATTGCAAGTCAGAAAACAAAAAGTATTGATTTTGTGCATCCGGAAGTCGGAAGTTTCTTAGAATGACGACTATTACTTACATTTTGTTATAAAGTTTTCCGCTGTTTTGCGCTATTTTCAAACCTCACCACTGCACTGACCACTCTGGCGACTCTCACGGCTAATTCTGAACTTCTATCGCTACTTTCTCATATACTCTTGCTATGGACATTTCAACGATCCCACTTCTCCAATGGGTTATAAAAGTAATATGTCCGTAAGATGGATTTTATGACGGGGATTCGGCTTGAATCAGACGGATATTTTATATTAGAAATGATATTTTACGTTTTTACACTTCAATTCTTTTATATGCAAACGTCTTGCTTCCTTAAAATATTAGAATAAAATTTTGGTTTATTTATTGTTTAGTCCGGCCCTGCGTTTCACTTATCTACGATTACACATTTATTTGTTTATTATCCTTTTGCATAATTGTTCAAAAGTATTACGTTGATGAATTAAAATTTCTAAATTTATTTTCACTATTATTCACTTTTTTGCGTTATATAATTGTGTGAAAAGTGCAAAATATCGGAAAATATTACGGCTTGGTAATTTTATCGGCCAGCACATTGATTGTTGATTCGATAATGCCGCAGCCGAAAATTGAGGTAGAAAAGTTTAAGGCCAACATCAATAATTATTTTATTCGAAATAAGAGAACAAAAACATGTGCATTCACTGCCGCGTATAATAATCTATTCTAAAATTAATTAATATATTAATAGTTTAATTTAAAATTGCCGAAAACACAGTTCCATTGTTATTGCCATATTTACAGTTATCATTTTCATCGTTTCCACAAAATTCAAAATAATTGTATTCAGCTAAACAGGGTTCGATATTAAAAATTGGGCAATCATAATTTAAATTAAGTAACAAATATTTGCGTATATATCTCTAAATTAAAACGGAGCAGTTTGTAGCTCTTCTTGTATGCTCATCGAGCGTCCGACTTTGCCCGCCGACGTTGTAACATCCTTACATTTTTCCGCATGATACTGCTCGGAGTACTCCTTGAGGCGGTTGCCGAGGAACACAGCACGCTCACGCTTTTTGATCATGAAGTCCGTGGGCAGCAACCATCTGTTTTCGTGGCATTCCTCCGCTGTGGGTCGTTTGCTGAAAACGCATTAACACATTAGCAACGCACGAAAGGCTGCGCATTACCCAAGTTTCTTACTTTGCGTGTCGCTTGAACAATAACATCACGAAACGGACGCCTTCCTGCGATACTTCCTTATAGAGATGTTCGAATCGGTAGCGCACGAAAAGGATGTTCTGGCGCGATTCTTCGGGCGTTGCGCCACGGAACGGTAATGTACCAGACAACAAAACATAGATTAACACACCAACGCTCCAAATGTCTGTTTGTGGAAATGCTGGTTCTTCCGCTAACACTTCAGGAGCTAGAAAATAATAATTAACAAGATAAAATTACAAAATTGAATTTTGTTATGCAAATTTAAATTTACCAATGTAGTCATGACTGCCTACAATAGGAACATGGTTGCCAAGCTTGGTAACTCTGTGTGCACACCCGAAATCCACCAGTTTCACCTCCACCGATCGCACGCCGCACATGACGATGTTATCAGGTTGTAAATCTAAGTGACACAAACCACGCCAGTGCAAGTATTGTAAGCCATCCAGCACCTGTGATACAATGGTCGCCACAGTTTGTTCAGTGTATTCGTGTCGTGTTGCTAAATAGGTAAGTACATCAGCACCCTGCAGTTTTTCAAGTATAAACACGGATGATCGATCGGGTGACTTGTACGCTTCCAACATAATCGCAATTCTTTCGTGTCTCAACGACCTTAACGCCGCGAATTCCCCCTCGACGTGATCGTCGCCTTGAGCGTTCGTGTCGATTACTTTAGCGACAACAACGCGGTCATTCTTTTTATCTAATGCCTTCACTACAGCAGCGAATTGCCCGCGGTAGATCTCGGAAATAAAATTGTATTTTTCTTGTGGATCGGATTTAATCCAATCAGTTGGGTCAGTTTCGAATGTGTACACCAATGAGTTACGTCTATCCAACTGTGCTTCGGCACCAGCGTCGGTCATTTGTTGCAAGTGCGTCATGGCTCTGCTCAATTGAATCTTCGGCGCTCCAACCGGAAGGGTCATGATGACCGGTGAGGCGACACCATACTCGCTCCAGCCCATTGCATTCTTCGCCGCTAGTCTGAAAATGTAGTTCTTGCCCGCTTCCAATCCTTGGACCAAATAGAATTCGTGATCTACATTGTTTGCCTTCTCGACCCACTCCATATCATCGGCGAGTTTGTATTGTACGCTGTAACAAATGACTGGCGCATGGCCGTCGTGTTTGGGTTGCTTCCAAGTGAGCAATACTTGATCGTCCGACACTTGTGCACCTTCGGGCGAATCGGGAGCGTCGGATACTTCACCCAGAACTACTCGTGTGCGTGCGATTGTCTGGCCGATTTTATTACGCGCGACGATTTTGTACATTCCCAAATCGAACGAGAGCGCTGGGCAGAATTTCAAATGCGATCGGCCGTTAGCATCAAGTGTAATTTTAATACGGTGCGATTCAGCGAGAATAGCATCGTTTTTGAACCATTGTACAGTTGGTTCTGGGTCACCGACAGCCATGCAAATCAATTCCAGATCTTTACCCTCTTGCATTGCTAACATCTGCGGCTTTTCACGGAAGAATGGTAAACGTCCCTCAATCTTGCTTTCCAAGAATGCTTCAGCTTCAATGTAGGTGTCTAAACGTGTACCTATTTCGTGTCTGAGACGTCTAAGGGTGTAACTAGATTCACCGGTTCCGTAACGGTTGATTCTTGTCTTTCTTTCATCATCGATTTCTTCGTCCATGATGTCTGTGAAACGCCTACGTTCACGGATGACTGGTGTCTCCCAATCAAAACCGTTTTCGTTGGATACGATGTGGGCTACGCAAGGTCCACGGCTTCCGGCCACTTTCATGTACTCTCGTAGACGTACAGGGAAATCAACGTCACGCAGTTGTAATAAATATGTGTCAGGACCATTTTGGTAACTGTGAATTCAAAAGATTATTAACCCATCACCTTTATTTTAGGTTTAATGAAAACTTACTGGCTTTCTGATTTGAATACACCAATTTCATAATTAAGAGGTGACCGGCTGGGAACTGCATCTTCCCATGTTCTCTTCTTCGATTTCTCTGCTGGTGTTTCTGGTGGTGGTGTATACCTCTCACCAGGTGGATAAACCATCCTGGATGGATGAGTAAACGCTCCTTCCAGAGGTCTACGTCTGAACCACCTCTGACAGGATGCGTTGTCATACCATTCTCTATACAACAAGAAGTAATCGCGCAGGTATTTACTGCTGATCTTATATTCATCTTGCCAGACTTTGTCGGCTCTTTCCAACCATGGATGGCGTAATGCAGTGTGCACATCCATACGACCTTCAGCTTGGTAAACAAGCAACTTTGTAATGAAATCGCGTGCTTCCAAACTGAGATGACTCCACCAGGATTCATCAAATTGCCATTTTCCAGCTTGGATACGTTGTAGAGTTTCCATGTCGTGGATACCTCTGAATGGAGAGTGTCCAGATAATAATATGTAGGTAATAATACCAATACTCCACATATCATGGCCCAAACCGGTACCTTCACCGTTTGCGCATTCCGGACTTACGAATTCTGGCACACCATATTTCAGTGGATATAGTTTACCCATTTGGATTCTTCTGGAGAGACCAAAGTCTGCGATTTTGAGTTCGTCACTGTTGGGATGAGATAATAACAAATCACCAATCTGAAATTAAATCGTTATAAAAATGTGATCATTTTTAGCTAGATTCAACAAAATTACATTAAGACCCATGTGGCCAATGCCTCTCTCATGCATATATTGAATTCCTTGAAGGGTTTGTCGGATAAATCCAGCAATATCAGACTCGGTGTAGTAGTCTGTTTTCAACAAATAATCTTTGACCAATTCACCACCGGCGGCAAGTTCAATGATCAAGGTCAAACTGTCTTCATGTTCATAAGCATCATGCAATGAGATTAGTCTTCTGTGATGCAGTTGATTCATCATTTCCCATTCGTTGTACATCATTGGTCTAAAGTCACCTCTACCGTGCATGATCTTGGCAGCATAGTTTCTGCCATTTAACCTTTCTACCGCATGGTAGGTGATGCCTGATGTGCCTCTACCTAATTCATCACCAATATCGTATAATTCTGAATATGGCTTCTTGCGAAGTTTGATTGGATTGGGGTTTTGATATGTTCTAATGTTGTATTCCAAATCATTCTCTTCTACGTGAAGCATTGCACTGGCGGATATACTGCCTGCAACATTACGAGCACTGACCGAGTATAAACCTTCATCTTTAAAGATTGAATCGTTGATGATGAGAATTGCTGTGTCTGGTTCCATCCACTGAATCTGTTTGAATAGAAAAGTTTGCTTTAAATTTTGTGTTGTTTGGTAGCATGGGAATAGTATTACCTTAATTCTAGAAGAATTAGCTAGTGGTTTCCAATCCTTGTACCATTTGATTTCCGGATATGGCACTCCAGTAATACGCGCA